TCCCCTATGCTTTCCTTTGAGGGAATCTCCTTCAAGAAATAGTAGTTTACTTGGCTGGCAGAGAAATATGTGGCTCCCAAGGCTACTTACGAGGGGTGTAGTTTTCGGGGGAAAAAAGAGAAATAAATAGACCCCAAGCCAATATCAAAACATAGGGCTCCCCGAAGCGCTGCTTTGCTTTGCCCCCTGTTTAAGTAACTATAGAGAAAATCAGGGGGGTCGTCTTTTTGCCGCCCTTGGTGGCAACAATGATCAACTTTCTTCCTGTTTGCGGGGGTCGCACATTTTCTCGCAGAAGGTGGCAAAAAGACCCTCCTGGAAAGAACAAGTCCACTTGACCACACTGGATTTGCATGCATGATGCTCGATTTGCTTCACCCGAGCTTGACAGGCACCCTCCCTCGAGAGTCTAGTGTGCGAGCGGTTCGACCCAGTTGCTTGCCACGCCGAGGACCGAGCATGTGCGCCCGGCGGCTTAGGGTCTTCAACCGTGTACGGTGGGAAGGGGGGGGGGGGAATTGGCCGTTTCCCAAAGTGCGCGTGTTCTTTCAAGGAACCTTCTTTGGCTTCAAAGGGAAGCCAGGTTCCCCTATCCTTGGGACAAGGCCTTGCTTGGGTCCTATTAAAGTGGCTTCACTTGCCTTTCGTTTCTCCTGAAACACCGCTGAGAAACGGGTCCCGTATCTTACGGACAGGTCAGGTGCTTGCAAGACGCCGTGGGAGCAGGAGATTTTGCCATCTGACTAGATGCACCGACTCCTTTCAATAAAGGGGGAGGGAATCTGAGCGGGGCAGCCTGACCCATGAAAAAACAGATTCAGCTTGCCATGGCTTGGCCTTGTGACAGTCTGGGGTGCTCAAGGAGTGCTGCGAATCCCATGTTGGAATCCAAGGGCGATTTCCCCCATCTTTTGCATCACCTAACCGATCCGGCGAGACAAGGCGCCAGTTGCTTGGGAGTCCCCTTGCTTTTCATAGTCTGATCCAGGTCCCCCTTTTGGCCGCCTTCGATTCCGCCGGAGCAAAAGGTTCAGCCGGATCGAGGCCTGGACAGCGTGCGCTCGCTCATCGTCGAGGCTGAGGCCGTTCTCGACCCTCGCTCCGGAATCCGGGATCAAAACCCTCCAGAACCCTCCAGCTTCTCCATTCCCTGGACCAGAAGCTTCCGACTCCGGCTCCGGCTCTGGGCTTTGAGCTGAAAAGAGGGAGAACCAAAGCGCACGCGCGTCTCTTGAGCCAAGTGGGTTTGGCACAGAATTCACCAGATTGGGGGACTCCCCCCCCCCAGCAATTGGGCGCTTTCCCTTCAACCAACCCGAAAAGGGGTACCTGAAGAGGAAGACACACACACATGCTCAATTGGAATTGGAAGAAGATTCCATAGGTCCAAAACCAGTGTTGAATGAGTGACACATATGTTTTCAAGGTGCTGCCAGACGGAATGGCTCGCAAAAGAGATACACATTTCTTTTTGGCTATTCCAGCGAAGCGCCATCTTCTGGCCTCACATCCATCCCATTGCTCTGCCATGAGAAGGGCGGCTCTTGACCAGAGCTTGGAGTCGACCAGGCGACACTGTATGGATTTGAGGAAAACCTCTTGTTGACTCCGGGGGAGGTGACCAAAGAAAGTAGCATAGGATTAGTGTTAATTGGTATTTTTTGGTAAATATACTAGTAACATACCGGTCAAGAGCAGAGAACCACCTGATATGCTGGCGGCGCCAGGTTCGACCAGTTCCCATTCCTGCAATTGTTCCGCATGCTTGTGGATGCGAAGAGAAAGCGGCCACATACCGTTGCCTCCTCGAGTCCTGTGGTAAATCACATTACATTTCTGTTTTGGTTCAGGGGTATTAAGTTCAGACGTACAGTATGTAGTTTTGTGCATGCATTATAGTATGTATACGTATGTAGTACATATGTATATATATATATAACATGCACACAGACACATATACACATATACGCATATGCACGTGTACAAGCACACTTTGCGGTTGGCAAGTGGACCGCCAACTGTCATTTGCAAGATTTCCCCCTTGAAGCATTGGGCAATTTACATCACGACTCACCGTGCTGAGAAACAGCGCTTCATTTCGCCCCACCAGGAAAGGCGCAGGGCGGGGACGTGGGAGGGATGATTCATCCAACTGATCCTGACTCAACCGCTGGCCAATCCATGAGGTTGGTTTCCTAGACAGAGAGTTGATCCATCTGATTGCATGGCTGGCCAGTACAGGTAGATCTATTTGATCCCTTTGATCCCTTCATGCCAGGTTTTCCTTCTGACCTTGGGGCCAGTACAAGCTGGACCCTTCATACCAGGTTTTCATTCTGACCTTGTCTTCCTGAAGCCGCGCGGTTTTCGGCATTCACTTTGACCGTTCCGGGGGGTTTCCAGGGCTTAGGATAATATCCCACCAAATGGTTGACTGCCGTGCTACACTTGAATCTCCATGGAGCTTGAACAATGCCTGGACATCGCTACTCCGTTTGCTTCCGTATGGTTTGAAAGGGAACGCTTAACCACCAGGGCTCCCTTCTGAGACAGACCCCTTGTCCCAGCTTCATGTCTAGTTTCTTTCTTTTCGCGGCCTCAGGGCGGTCCGGCAGAAGGCCGGCCTTCGAAGAAATTGGGTCTCGTGGGATCGTGGGACCGACGGGTGAGATGGGAGGTTCATTACTCATGGCTCTCCCCAATTAACGTGGAACCCTCCTGGTCCCCTTTCACATTGAGGGCGCTGCGTCTCTATGTTCTTGGGACGAGATCCCGATGGTTGAGACGGTTTTGGGCCTGAAACCTCGCCCTTTGGCAGAAAACCGAACTGCTGAAAGGTTTGGCTCGCAGGAGCCGGGCTGTGATGGGCAGGTCTCAATGGTTAGGCTCTTCAACGTTGCAGATCGAGTAGAAATCGCTTTTCATGGAAATTGGTACTCCGCTGTAAATTCTCTGGAAGTCCAAGTTCAAGAACGCATCATACGTGGAGGAATGTCCTTTGCGGAATTGGACCCCCGTTTCTTGGGTTCCGTGCATAGGTCGTAAACGTACATGTGAAGTAGCTGCTGCCCCAGACCTTTCTGTTCCCTGTGGAAACTTGGCAAAGGCGACTGAATTCTTCGGCCGCACTGATTGCTTTTGGAGGCAAGTGGACACTCCCCAAACACACATCGATTGAGGCGCCTTTCGGCCCTCGTACTTCCCTGTCATGTTTTGGGATGCGCTCTTGTTATCTCCTTGGTTTTGACTCACATGATTGTGAATTGCCATGGCCTGTGGGGGTTTCACTGATGTAGTTGCCATGGCTTCGAGGCCTTGCGCAGGCGTTGTGCTGGTTCGCCAAGGCCGGTGTGCGGGTTCATGGATTCGAGTCTCCAGTCGGAAGAGGAGGCTCAGGGTCAGTTAATTGGCGGTGGCTCTTTGTTTGTGTATGCCTTTCGGCTTGGGGAAGGAATTCAAAGGAAGAAAACACCTGTTTTGTTTGTTTCTTTGATTGTTTTAGGGGGGAGCCCTGGGCGTGCGGCCGGAGCACTTGCGCATTGAGCCAACTGTTTTTGGTCAACTCTTTGCGGGACAGATGATTCGTTTGGTTCCACTTGCGGCAGGCAGTTTCAAACGTCGAGTGGATGAGCCAAAGACGCATGAAGCGCAAGGGATATTTCGATTCTCCTTGCCCTTGCGTAGCTGCCAACAGTGTTGTGGGAGTTCGCGGAACGAAAGCCAGATGAAATGCTACTACCAGAATTGGTTGTCGTCAGACGCGGTTTGCAGGGGGATGAGAGAATGACCCGAAACTGCGCCGATCATTGAAGGGATTCCCCTTCCGGTTCATGCCCTTCCACCCCCAAACATCCACAGTATGGGGGTTTCCAAAAAGGAACTTCCTTTTGTGGGAACCTCCCAGAAAGTTCCTTGAAACTTATCTTCATTCCTGATCCCTTGCCCCAGGAAGAAGGAGTTCCCGTTTACTTTGCAATGTGCATCATTGGACGGTCTCGCCATCTGAGCCGGATTCCGGGCCTTTTGCTTCTGTAGGCGTGCAGGATTTCTTCCGAAGATTCTTTCGATCTCGGATCCCAAGGACTTCCCTTCGGTGGGTTCCACCCTTGCGGCACAATCAAAATGGACCCTCCAAATGTTTTATGGGACGGATGAAGATCAAGTTGCAGAGCCGGATGTCGTCCCATTCGCCTCTCCCAGGCGGGCTGCGCGGAGTGGCTCGGCCGCCTCCTCCGCGAAGGCCCCTCGTCCACCGCGCTGGCCGCGGCGCTGCGGGCGGCGGCGGAGCAGGGCCGGGGGCCGTGCCTGCGGCGGCTGCTGGAGGCGCGCGGCGCGGCGAAACGGAGGCGCTGGCTTTGAGAGTCTGCTTTGCTCAGGCACGTTTCTGCTGGAAGGCGCTCAAGATGGACGAAGTGGAAGGATTTTGCGGGGAATTGAAGATTTAGTATTTGTGGATATAATTTGAGTACTGGAAACTTAAGATTAAGTATTGGTAATACTAATCTTAGCAGTACGTATTGGAAGTCTGAGATTAACCATTTGCAATACTAAGTTTAGTGCGACACTACTGAAACAAGTACAGTGCCTCTGAGACGAAGCATTGCCGCCATTCAAGGAAACAAACATTGCCAACACTCTAAGTCAAACGCTCAGAATCTAGGACTATGTGCTCGCAGCGTAAAACTTTGTAGTGGAAGTCTGAGATGATTTCTGTCAGTTCAAGAACTGAAAGTCTGAGATTGAATAAGTACTGGGAATACATCATTCAGCGGCGCTGGAAAGGCTGGAATGACTTGCATTCTTGGGAATTCCCGACAGGAGAAGCGCGACAGCTCAAGTGAAACACAAGCGAAGCGGCGCCCAAGGCGAAGAGTAGAATGGGGACCGCTGCATTCTGGATGGATTTCCCACTCATAAAGACACTTTCTGGAAGAGGTGAAACTTAGATCCATGAAACACCTAGAATAATAATTCAATTTGTGAGGTTCAAGGTTTAAGTTCAATATTTCAAGGGAAGCTGGAATCTGGAAGCGACGCAACGTACACAAATTGCACAGTGTCTCGAGATGCATGTTTTTCAGATTGTAAAGAAAGCTTGCTTTCACCTGCTGCCACCTCCTGTCCATTCTGCCACAACAGCTGCAATGTAGCGGCCTAGCTTGCGCCACTGCTTTAGCGCGGCAAATCGAAGCTTCAAAGGTTTGGCAAGTCCAGAATTGTACCCGGCTTCATATGGTTTTGTCGCAGGTTTCCTTTTGGCTTCCTTTCGCACGCCGTCTAAAGGTGGCTTTCCTCACAGCAGACACACCCTCACAGCAGACACACCCATATGTCTACGCTCCCAAATGGACGGTGAACAGAAGTAATGGAGGCTGTTGGCTTTGTGCGGTTGGCTGCATGCATTTGAGAATAACACTCTTGGGAAGGGCAAAGGCCAGCCTTCTGTAGGAATGCTATTTTGGGGTATGGATTGTCCCTCAGCCCCTGGCACAATCCGATATCAACATTCATGGATGAAATCCCTCACTTTGAAACCATGGTTGAAACCATTCTTTGTTGGTATTTTCGTTTTGGAAAAGAATCAGAAGCCGAGTTTTCTTAGGCGCGACATGGTTTTGGCAACTTTCCACGGGCACCGCAACCGGCGAAGCAGGCCTCCGCCTCGGTGCACGCCATGGATGAGACGCTTGGCGCGAGCGAAGCGAGGGCATTGAAGGAGGTGGGGTAATATATATATATATAGGTTCCTTGAGACACGTGCTCAAAACCCGGCAGAGGAAGTGTGGACAATCCGAATCATAAATAGGTGCGGCTGCCATTTTTGGTCTTCACATGGTGTTGGGTCGACTATTTTGATACCAGGGTTTGATCATGACGAAGGCAAACGAATGCTTGACAAAGGGTGTTCTTCTGCGACCTAAGCCGTCATGAAGGCTCCTTCCATGGGAATGCTGATATCAGGTTGAGAGTTGCACATTGAACACCTCCCAGAACAGTCTGACGTTGTGAAAGTCAGAAACGGCTTTTTTGCCTGCAATCTACTCCTTGACGGGCTGACTTTGAACAAAAACTGTTGGCTAAATCCCCTATGCTTCCCACAGCAGGGGATTGGTTGGGTTTGAACCAGCAGTTTTTCCACTGGGAGAGCATTCACTAAGGCCTGCAAACAGAGTTCCCTGCAGATTCCAAGCAACCACGTGCCCAGATTCGCAATCTGCGTTTGTTTCATCGCCAAACCTCCGGGCCACACCTCTAGTGAGTCGACAGGTCCCAAAGTGTTACTCTTCCTCCTACTATAGCATTTGTGGGAAGGGTCCCTGGAAGATCAATGCCCTTTTTGAGGGGCTCCCCTGTTAGGTGCCATGGCAATGTGGGAGGGAGGGTACTGTTTTTTCAGCTCACGTCCCGACTGCTTGCCGTTCCCAAGCTTCTCCAATGGGCGACCTCGCGCGAGGTGGCTTTCTTTCGGGTTCGCTTGGCTGGGTGAATGATTGGAACTCACAGAACTCAGAATGAGTAGGATGGCCGTTTGCCAACATGCACTCCCCCCAAAAGTGTGTGGGTGGTTTTGGGTTTCCAAGGGAGACAACTTGGCTTTTCTCCCGGCCATTCGGTTCCCCAAAGCGTTTCAGATCTTTTTAGTTGGGGTTTCCGAATCTAAACCGCTCAAAGTGAGTCACTTTGAGCGATCGAGGATCTGAAAACGGGCAAAACAAGGCTTGATTAGTATGGCTGTTTGCTCACACAGACCCTCCTTCTCGAAGACACTGGCCGAAAGAACGGCTGCGAGATGCGGCAAGTCGGCCGGTAGGAACGATTGCACGGCGCTGCACTGGGCTGCGGACAAGGGCCATGCGGAGGAGGGAGCGGGCGGGGCAGATGTCGTGTCCTTCTTGGGTCAGTTGGGTTGAAATTCGATGGGTCGTTGTGTTTTTAAGGGCACCCTTTTTGGGAAATCCAGAAGAAAACCACTATTTTTGGGGTCCCCCTGTTTTTTGCATACATGCGCAGATGGATTCCGCTGGTTCCGGTTGGTTCTCGTCATTGCCAGTGCCATTTTTCTCCCCGCGAAGAGGACGGCGGTTGCACAGCAGTAAATGGTTGCCCGCCCCGCAGAGGGGCATGAACACTAAATAGCCTTCCTTTTGGAGTTGAGCCGAGCAGGGATGGAGGAAAGCAGGGATGGAGGAAAGCAGGTAATAGAAAGCTTGCAAGTCGGCCTCCATGTTGAGCACTGATACCGCGAAGGCGTTCTCTGAATAGCCGCGAAAGCGTTCTCTGATTTCACCCCACGAAGATTTCGCTGTGAGATGCGGCTGGGGCACTGCGGAGAGGAGGGTGGTCCGTCATTGGAGATTTCAGGAGACTTCACAGACCGGTTGGGGTTTCTTTGGTTTGTTGATTGCTTTGGAGTTCTGTCAGGGCTCAGGCGGATGCCTCCGAAGCTTCCTTGAATCAACCTATCGGCCTGATTTGCTCTGTTTCCTTCAAAGAGAAGGGCTGCTTGCAAAAATGCGACACCTTGGTATCCATCAACCAGGGTTTTATCAATCCACACTTCTGCATTGCCATTGCCATGATCAATCTGCAGTGCCAGGCGTGCAAGGTGCTGTTGGCCGCCGGCGCTCGGCTGGACGACATAGACGACGATGCCGCATCCTCGGACAGCTGCGGCCAACATGGGCAAAACTGAACATGTGACGGCTGTTAGGCAGGGGGGTTCCTCATTTCCCCCTTTTTGGACCTTCAAAAGTGGCGCTTCGGTTGGAACGCAACAGCAATTTGCGGAATTTGTTCGACACCTGCATGTGGGACTGTCCCAAAACCTTGTAACTAGAGCCCCCCCCCAAAAGCCCTGGGGTCACTTTTTTGGATATACCCCCCCATATGGCGTTTTTCCGGGATCGTTCTTTCTTCAGTCTTCATAGCTCCAGGTTCGGATCTGCTTCCCAGGACATGTTTTGATCCTTTTTGTTTCGGGGCGAACTAAAACGCCATGCACCCGCTCATTGGGACCATTGTTGTCCTCAATCCGCACGCAACGGCATCGAGCTGAGGGTAGAACATCGAGGTCCTAGGAGTAGCACTCAGCACGCGCAGGCCTGACAAATCGAGGTCCTTTGGCCCAAGCTGACCGTTAAATTTGGTTCCCCTCCCTCGAGGGCCAGTTGACCGGGAACATCAGCTCAGGCGTGGACGCCCTTGTGCCTCGCCGCAGAGGAGCGGCGCAGATTGCAATGGGTTGGGAACCCCGCGGTCTGGGAATGACGCCGATTCTTTTGGTGACAACACAGGGATGGGGACGGTCCGGTGGTTCGAAATTCTCGCAAACCAAGGTCGGTCATGCTGGGATAGTGATCGTGATCTCCTTATACTACAAGGTGTTTGTCCAAATACTGGTAGGCTATGATTCAAATTTTTGGGAGCTCCAGTGTGCATGCGGGCCCCATGCCGGTGCGACAGTAGATGCGAATTGATATGTGCCATGGCAAAGCTGCGTTCCTACTTGGCGGTTTGCCGAGGTTGTCGTTTAGCCTGGACTGGCTTCGGAGAACTGCTGCAAGTTGAGTGGACGCTAACTCCGAAGATCGAACACGCCTCGCCGTGAATCAACCCTGGTAGCATCCCTGTGTCAACCCGGATCCCATCCTCAATCAGCCCAAACCCCACGCTAGGTCAATTGAAATCCTGCCCTGAGACAATGTTTGGTAGCTCCCTTGTTCTCCGCACGTCAGACTGGATGTATGCGAGGCAGACATTTGCCGGACACATGCAAGAAGTTTGCTAAGTCTACGCTTAAGAGACCTGCTACACATGCGTGAAGTTCAACAGTGTGACATGAATCCCCAGCTGAACGCTGTCCATCAAAGAGTCCCCCATTAAATTCGGCCCATATGATAGAGCAGTATTTGCCACAAGCTTGACACATATGCTGCAATGCAATCTCAGATTGGGGATAGAGTTTTGCCGAACTTTTGGCGGGGTAAGTTAGACGTGCTTTTGACCCCCCTTTGTTTTCTTCGTGTGATTTGACATTTGCCAGACATGTTGGGCATGTGCCGACATGGTAAACTCATTCGGCTGTGCCGCTCAGGAGGTGACCCAACCGCCACTGTCCCACTCGGGAGATGATGCGACATGTCCGTTTGGTGGACCAATGGACCAACGAACAAGGACCAAACGCCAAGAGCAAAACCTGATACAACTTCAAAACAGAAGGACATCTCAATCATGGCAGGGGACATACTTTTTTTGTTGTTGTTCCGTTGGTTCGCCGGAATGGCGCACAGCGATTTCCTAATGCTGCACAACAAGTCGTGGGTACATTGACATGCTTTCCATTTTGGCAGCTAGGCAAAGCTGAGCATTCAGATTTCTCGGTGTGTTGGTCGATGGAGGCAACGAGCATGACACATGCAGATTTTGGTTTGGGATGAGGGGTTACTATATATATATATATATATATGGGTGTTCTCAAGCTAGTGGACCCCACTGGTCGGTTTTCTTTTTTTTGTTGTCCAGAAGTGGGCTCATGTCACAATGTTGGCAGGGTTGGGCAGATGATTCATTAAGACTTTTCCACCCATATACTCTTTTTTGCTTCTACTTTTGTAGATTGTCTGTGTCATTCTTCCTTTTGATCCTGTTTCAATCATTTGATGTGGGGGGTGGGTGGGGGGGGGGAGGTACCATATACATATATGGCTGTGGGTCAAACATAGGTACCCAAGATGGAATCCTGGCAAATGGAAACGAGGACTAAAAGCTGCGGTTTATCGGTGATTTGCCTTTGATTCATACCCATCTACTCGTGTATATGATGAATATATACCATATACATGTATACACGCTGTATATATGGGGAGGTACCATGTAACACGTGTATATGACAAACAATAACATACAACAAAAATAAATAAGTAAATAAACAAATAAGATAAATAAATAAATGAATGAATAAATGTATATATATACATATATATATATATATGCATACCTGCGTCGCCTGCGAGGAGGGCCACCTGGAGACCTGCCGGGTGCTGCTGGAAGCGGGCGCCGGGGTGGCCTTGGCCGCGTCTTTTCTCGGACAGCCGCGGTTTTTTTTGGGCTGGGCGATCGGTGCGAAGTCGGCAGGGAAGGAGAATTGGAATGACCCATCTACACCATCCTGGTGGTTCCTGTTAAGGGGAGCCCTGGGTTCATTCCCAGATTGCTTAATGTACTCATCCAACCGGTGGTTCCTTGTAAGGGGACTGTGCATGTGGAAGCAAGGATTATTACCACTTCACACCAGTGCCTTTGTCTGACAGATTACAGATATGACGTTCACACTCGTTTGATGTGCTCATTTCGGTCGATTTTTAGTGGTGCCAAAAGGTGAACCTTTTATGGTCCTTTGGGCAAGTGAGTGTTTGAACAAAAAGAAAGGCCCAAAAACCTGCGAGTTGGCCAATTTCGCTGAATGAAAAAAAAACGCAAAGCGGTCGTCCCGTGTTGGTAGAACCAGCAATCAACTGGTTTGGCTGCTGCGTTGCATCGCTTTCCCCACGTTTGTATAGACGCAATGTCCATGTTGGCAGAGCCAAACTCCAATTGGCTTTGGGCGCTGCTCAATTGGCAGCGTCGTGGAGATCGTTTGACAGGGAACTGACAAGAAACCCAGTACTTCAATTGGATCCTGAAAGAAGTCGAGTAGTCGGGGGCCAATTTAAGGGAACCCAAGACAAACAATGGCGTTTAGGGGAGGCCCCATGCCATTTGTAGTGATCCCCCTGTTTTAAAATGCCAACACACAAAAGCAAACTGGATTGGGCTACATTTTTGTTGCTTCTTTTGATATAACTTGCAAGTTCTGTTTTGTCGGAATTCGCTGTGGGAACCCATTTAAACACTGAACACATGAGCTTCGGTTGCAATTTATGTTAGTCTATGGTCCATTTGGGAGGGACATAGGGACTCACACAATGTCACAGACTTCCAACACCCCCACGTCCTCTCGGGGGAACCTTTGCGTTTTTTTTTGACGGTGGCCATAGGGTTGGTGGTTTCAGCGAGCCACGCTTGTGCCTGAAGGCCAACTTAAAACCAAGCAAGGCCATGACAAGGCCCAGCCGCTGGCCGGGGGCTCTTTGCGGATTCAAGTTTTGCGCTGTTCAGCGGTGGAATGGTCCTTGATCACCAAAAGATGGAAGTTTGGTTTAGGTCGTTCTGAACATTCCTAACCCCAGTTTCCCTGGCGAATGTTTGGCTTTTGTTTGGTCGAATGTTTGGCTTCCCCGTTCGTTATCTTTGGCCTTTGTTTCCCCGGATCATCCAGCAGGTCGATTGATTGGTGACTCTGTGGTTGGCCCTGGCTTTTGAGGGGGAAGCCACCGATTCGGCTCCAAACCAAGAAAAACCGATTCGGCTCCGAAGCAGCCATCAAAAAACCAATCAAAGCGAAGCTGAGAAAGGGGTTCGCTATCTTGAGACGGAGCTGGGAAGCCATTGATTTGATTGAGATAGGAAGGTGCATCCTGACAGGAAAGGCTTAGGCGTTGAAAGTAGGTAACCCCGCCTTTGGCTTTCCTTCGAAGCAAACAACAGGGTGTTTTCAGAAGGATAGGCGACCTCTAAACCCTCCTTTGGGTTCCCTTCAAATAGGAGACATCAGGAGTGTTTCCAAAACTCAGTGACGACCGAACCTTCGCTCCACATCTCTTTTGAAAGGGCTTGGCGTTCATTGCCTGCCATAGTTATCGAAGGATCCCTGATGAAGCATGTAAGACTAGAAGTTGCAGGTAGGGTCTATCACCTACACTCTCTTAGGATTGACAAACGGTGCTCTTTGAGTAGACACGTATTTGTGAGTGGGATCAATCCGATTCCGTGAGAAGCCGCGCGATAAATTCGGTCATGATCAAACCAAATGCCACGTTCAGACGCCACATTCACGATTGGCTGGGGTTGATCACTGGGAGTAGGACAAGTGCCATTTGAGGCATCGATGGACTGTTTAGTTTCAAGGGTTGGGCACGGATTGGCAAACCACTCTGGAATGGGCGCAGATTCGATGTGCCAGTGTCCCCAGTTCAAGTTCATTATTTATATATATATATAGACACATGTCCTAAAGTTGAGGACTCCTTTTGCGCTTGCGCTTGAACAAAATCAGACCAACGGTCTCAGCCTTTTTCAGGAACATCTCCAGGTAAGTTTTACAATTTGATGGAAGGTTGATCAACAACAAGGCACGTGGAACCCACCATTCAGGGTATGCTCTGGCTCCATGTTGAGGACGACATGCGAAGCCAACCGGAAACCATCCTTTGTTGAGGCTCCAAGATTGAGACTTTGGTCTGAGACTTCGGCACCCCGCACATGTCTGTGGCTCAAGAAAGAACAACAGGCGAGGACGCATCTTTTTTCTTCTCCGCGGCTGGGCCGCTTTGTTGTCTTCTTCTTTTGTTGTTTCTTCTTTTTTTCCGGGGGTGCAGTCCCACTGCAAAACGGCCAGGTGAACCTCCCGGACGAGGATCTGCGGTCGCCCCTTTGGTGGGCCGCCTGGCCGGGAGCTCATCCGTGGATTTGGCCGAGCAAAGGGCGGGCGTTTGATCGGTGGTTCGAGTTCCTTCAATTTCCTTGGGGGTCCTTGGGGGTCCTTGGGGTTCCAGGGTTAACATTTTTTCGGACTGGTTTTACATTGCTTTTAATATGTTTGTTCAACAGTTTAAAGGATCATTTTATGCATGTTGTGAAAATGGTGATTGCATACTTAGATGGAGTGGATTGCATTACACATGGATATAATATTCGTGAATGGAAAGCATCTGCAATTGGTCATTATGACCTTAGGGTTCCTTGGTGGTTGAACATAGATACACTGGTGTCTGTTTGCTTGTAGTTGTTTACCAGTGCCATTGATTTTTTCCCCGTTTGAGAGCTGTTGACATCGCCTTGGCCGATTCAAAGTTAGTTTCCTGAGGCGATGTTTAGAGACAATTCTCCGGTCTGCACGAGTCTCGAGCTGAAGGAGTCTGGCCGAACGACCCATGGGCATTTGCCCGTGGGTTTAGGTCTGGAGGTTTTCTAATACCACCTGTATGGAGGTTGAGAAGGAACCACCTCAACAGTGGTTGGTGAACATGAATCCCTCCAACGGGCCCCCTGCTAAAACTCACCCCCGAAAGGGTTTATACTACCTTATGAGCCAGATTGGTGGTAGCAAGCCTTCATACCTCCAAAATCCATACCCGGAAATGCCCGAGATCTAAAGAGTTGAGTAAGCGCGTCTTTGGTCAGTCATGTAAGTCAATTTCAGAGTTGAACGGATTGATATTCATTAAAGCCCAAGGGCTCCAGCGCTCGACTCCGGTGTAGCTCATGTCTATAGCCAAGGAACCAGGTCTTGGCAAGAAGGTCTGTGACATGATTGTGCTTGGCAGGCTTGGGTGACATGTTATCATTTGATCAGGGAGGGCTCTTGACCAAAATGGACACACCGGACGGGTGCTACTTTGGCTCAAGTGCCCAAATTGCAACACCCTGTTCTTTCTGTCCTTGCAATGATCCATGCGGCTGTTCGTCGGGCGCAGTGGTGCGCTGCCACAGTTGACAGCCCCGCAAACTTGCTGGGGCTGCGGGCCATGGCTTGCTGAGGGCGGTGCATATGTGCGAAGTGGCTATCATTCTCCACCGGGCCTACTTTGAGGCATATGGCGACGAGAGATACCCTTCACGCGGGTTGTGCGTCCTTTGTGGAAGCGAGCATGGACGCTTGCGCTGGGTGGCCGCAGGTCCACTTGGCTGGGCAGCCAGCGCTCGGAGTGCGCGTAATCCTTCTGCGGTTTCCTTAGGACGCCCCCGTGATCTTCTAGGAAGAAGCTGACCAAGAACCAGGGTCAAACTTAAACTCCTGCTCAAGACGTTCACCATGTCCATGCCTTTTTCAAGCAAGCCGATGACGGTAAAGAGGTTGGGGAACCCCTGCGGCGTTCATGGCGCGCTGCAGGGGAAGGGATCAGAGCAAGGCTGAGATTAGGCATTTGGACAGCCTTTGGGGAGTCGGCCTTCAAAACCTGATCCTGGACAACGTGATCAGTCCTGTGGCCAGGAAATTCGCTCTAAGCGGATGGTATACATGGGCTTGTCTGCCTGTGGAGACAGTCCCCAGTTGCCTTCCTTTTGCACCAGTCATGTTTGTGGTACGTTCCCGGCTGCGCTGATCAGGATGTACTGACCGCTTCTTCCGAGGTGTGCGGAAAGCGTTCTCCAGTGATACTGCTTGTTTGACCCAATTAGCGTTGGAGGTGTTCCTGGAAAGTTTTGGATGAGCACATAACTTCGGGAGATGGGATTCTTCACAGAGCCGGTTGCCTGCCAAAATCGCTTACCGCGTGCCAGCTCCCCATAGACCTGGCGCATCCGTTAGTTCGGTTGTGCTGCGGATTGATTAGTGGCGCCATGTGCCTCGTGGAGCTTTGATTTGCTGCGACTGGCAGGCACCTTGCGGAGGCTGTGCATCCTCAACGTGTCTGCGTCGTTGGAATCCACTCGGGGCGGTGTATCGCCTGCAGCGGACGTCTGAGTCTCTGCGTTTCTCGCGTTTCTCTCTTGTGCTGCTTGCAATTATTGTGGTGGTTGCGCCGTAGTTTCTGGCATCAAATAACTCTGCGCTGCTCTCAACCTTCTCAACAACGTATCGAACTTGGAGATGAAGTGGAGGAACTCGCTGTTGTGTCTTGGATGGTTGAAGAAACTGAGAAGTCCGGCAAGTACAGGCTGGTGTTTCCTTGGAGGAACAGCTTCCGAAGCGTTCTTGAAATATGTAAAGCCTTGCACAGGATCTTTGAGATGATCGTTGTCGAGCGGCTCGCGGTAGAGAAGTGCTTCTCCATCCAACCTGATCTCGGGAAGTGGTACATGTTTCGATGGATCTACTAGAGTCATGTTCAGCCAGTCATCTATATCGAAGCCAGCTAACACGTCCGTCAAGCAATGGCGGCAACTTGGCGGTCATTGGCACCTCGGAATATCCCATAGGTCTGCTGGAAACGGACGTCTCTTCCTTCTTCAGAAAAAACAGGTATGACCTGGTACACTTGTTGGCCGTGGCGCTATTTCACGAGAGGAAAGAGTCTGGACACTGTAGAGTGGAAAATCAACTATGCTGGTCCTGGCTCTTGGTGTTGAACTCTGTGAGGAGGCGTGCAGTAGTGACCCTTTGTCTCGCTGTGAGTGTGAGAGCGCGCCTTGAGCCAAAATATAGACTGGAAGATTAACCATTGCAAAGCAACGGTTCCTTGCACCCCGCTTCCCCCGTGAACCGTTTTTAGCCTCAGGCGCAGGCACCGGGAGCTGGCGGCTCTGCTGCTCAGCTTCCGCCGCCCGGTGCGAACCGGGTGTGGACAGCCTGGATTTTTAAAGGGTTGGAAGCCCCCAAAAGCGGGCCAGGGCCAATCCTCCCGGCTGGGAAAAGCCGAGGAAATCGAGTGTGTCTGGGTTTGGTGGGCGGCTTTTATTGGGGGTACTTTGGCTGTGGTAGAAAGGGAGGCAAAAAAATGCATTTTCTTTTGGTTTTCTTCCGTCGGTAGGCAACACCCAAGAAGCATACTGGCCACTTAAGTAACTTTTCTTCTAATGACTGCCTTCTTGATTGATTCGCGGCGAGGTTTCTGCCAACCTTCAAGCCTTGTTAGAACCAAATGTCTACGGGTTCTGTGGGCTGAAGGGTTGAACCTGCATTTTCTCTTCATTGGTTTCGCATTCGAGGGGGTGCTCCGCAAACGACGAACAAACATGAATATGGGACAGCAGTCGCTTGAAATTCAAGTCAGCCACTTACGGAAGCGGGGCTGATGTGCAAGGGGAATGAGAAATGGAATGAACGGGGAACATTCTCTTCAAGGAAACCGCCAGTTGGATGATTTCTCATTCCCCGCCTCTCTCGCACCGATCGCAAGAACCAAGGCATCCACCCCCCCCCTCCCGCCCCAACTCCTGTCCCCCCCCTCCGCCCCCGCGTGAGTTGCAGGCGCGGACCCTGAGCAGGGCGACCGCCACGGGGTGTCGCCCAGGGAGATCCTCATGGCTTGGAGCCCTGGAGAGGCGCCAGGTGCTTTCTGCTGCCCGAGCAGGCGTTTTCTTTTTGTTAATCCGTTGGGTTTCCCTTATAAAAGAACGGGTCCCCTGATTTTGAGACAGATCCGGTGAGTACCTGCCGGGGCTCATACCCACCCTTGCACTGCGTCCAATTCCGTAGTCTTTGAAACTCAACGCGACAGGCAATCAGACGTCCGGGGTACCAACGTTTTTACGAATGGACAACAGCTCAAGCTTTGCATGGCAATCGTTGAGCGCTTTAGAGGGACAACATTTGCACTTTGAGCAGTTTTGTTCAAGGCAGCGCAATGGCTTCGCGGTGTCTCGCATGCCAGAAAGTAGGTAATAGAATGGAATCATGCACCATTAGGGCAGATCCAGGAATGCGATTGAACCTGTGGACCAGCAAAGATGAAGTCTAAGGCCTGGAGGATGGGTGTACTCACTTGTGCACGGGCTCAACTCGTCCGTGAGTGAAAACAAAAAACAACTCCCCCTGCGAAGTGCTTCGCCCGGATGGGCGGCCTTTTCCCTGCCCAAGGACGATGCCCTGGCGAACGCTGAGGAGGGAGCCGCGAGAAAAAGCGCGACCCCCCCGTGCAGTTTGACATGGAGCCCATTTCAAAGCTCATTTTTGGAGCGGCCCCTTGTTGTTTGGGGGGGACAAGGGCAATTTGCTGGGGAGCAAGTGCTGGGACATTTTGGACATCACTTGCATGGGAGACATTTTCGAGGATGTTCCGACTCTCAGGCCATGTAGCTTTGGCATCAACTCGACAACGAGGTCATTGGAGCTTGTTCCTACGCATATTCCACGGTATGCGTCCTGAACGCAAATTCATCACGTGACATCAGGGGCACTCAGCTTGTGCACATGCTGAGTAGGCAGCCTGCATCATGGTTTCATGGCTGCGATCAGTTCCTATATGGCTATGATTTGAAATGGGGAACCACCTCAAAAGTGACTGGTGGACATGCATCCCCACCTGCATGATGTCCATCAACGAGTGCCCGAGTTAAAATTCATGCCCATATTTCTACGGTGCTCATTCCCGCGGGTTTTTGACAGCAGAACGTCTGGGTCCATTCTTGCTGCAGCCCATGGTGTGCAATTGGCTCGCGGCAAAATGGCAAAACGGTTGGTTTCCTTTTGGCTTCCCTTCAAACCAAACGAAACAGGCTTCAAGGGGGACTCGAGCTACATCCTCAAAACCAATTCGGGTGGATGAAGGTTAGTAAGGGACAATCGCGACCATAAACGGCTGCGGATATCCGCCTTCTTAGTTCTTTGCATCGTTCAGGGTGGACCACTTCAATGCCGAGTTTTGACTCTGACTCGACTTGACGGTTGACAAAGTTGAACGGGTCCCAATTTTCCCTGTTGCCCTTTGTTGTCCATTTCAACGGGATCGCAACAAGATCCGCCTGGGAGCCTTCCCCTTGAATGGTCCCAGGGGGGGGGTTCAATGCAAGTTAAGCTGAGGCAGTCCTCCTAGGCGTCACTAGTTGTGTGTTCAAATCACTTGGTTAGTCAAAATCCATGATTGCATGTCAGCCAACTGGGTTGAACATCCAACTGTTGTTTGCTCAGGCTGTTTGTTCCTGTGTCAAAACACGGTGCCATTTGAGGGTTGGCTTCAACAAGACGGCAACAGGAAACTCATACCTCGGTCGCTCTAAAAGGTTTGCCGGGCAGACCTTTTGACATATGGATGCTGCCACTCTCGCCAACCGGCATACATTTATTCGGGTGAGTCCTGAGGTCAACCTCTCATCCACGTCGGGTTCCACGTTCGTGGGAGGAGACCCCTTTTGGCTTGAGGCAGTCGTGCGCACCGGAGCCCCTAGCCGCGTCAAGCGCGGGCGGCGGGGCGCGGGGCGGGGGGCGGGTTGGTCCGGTGCCCATGGATCGCCCGGAGGGTGCCGGCCTCGGTTGGAAGTTTTTCCGTGATTTTTTTGCTTCAACCACCAACTTGATATCAGCTAACCCCTTAAGGAACAGCCCTGTCAAATCAGAATCGATCAGGAGTTTGTCAATCCTGGGTTCCCAAATTACTCACGATGAGCGGACAGTTTTGTTGGTCTACTGTTAGGACTGCGGGCCAAGACCTTCCAGTGCCGTTTCAGCGGGTCTCTACCTGGTTCAATGTGTTGCCTATGATCCTCCGTTTAGTCTGGTGCTCCTTAGCTTCGGGATGCTCGGAGGTGTTCGCAATGGCTGGCTCCATGGGGCTTGATTCAGCCGGAAGCTCGCGTGGCTTTTGAAGGGGACGGTTCCAAAGGACCCAAAACGGGGGCAAGAACCGGCCGACCTGACCATGTGAGCCATCGAAACTCCGAATGTTTGGGCCATGGTCATGGTTCACATGGTCTAAAGTCCTTGTTGAGGGGTTAGCCAAATAAGGGAAACTCAATGGGGTCTGTCTTGTTTGTGGGTGCCCTGTTCGGGTTGGTTACAAAAGGGAAAACACACATTCCATTCTCGGGGTCCGATGCCTGTTGTAAGAGCAACCAAACATCCAACGATGCATCTCGATAGGCGCAGTGCTGCTCAGCTCGGGCAGCCGCAGCGCGCCGATAAACCTCAGGCAAAGCGGGAGCGTGGGGGAGGGGAACGTGGGGGTGGGCCCCATCAAGAAGGAGCGGCACCCCTCATTTTGAGAGCTCCCAGAAAACGCTGTTGGGGTAAGAAAAAACATGGGGGGAGTCTGGCCGAAATGAACTCCGAGCGCAGCTTGAGGTGGTGTAGATGGGCGAGTGTCAATCTTCAAAAATGAAATGCCAAAACAAATCTCCGGGAACATGTTACTGTGCCAACCTCCTGGATATGTCCTGCTTGTCTAGGGAAATATTTGTAAATTTGGAAGCCACGCGCAATGAGGTCGTGTTTCTTGTCATACTGGCATTGAGAATTGCCACTTGCCGGCTGTAAGACCGCAGTACCAGTGAGGGGTCATTTGACACGGGTTCGGAGGGTAGTCACACTTCCTTGGCGATGATTCCCGCATAGTGCCAAGGGAATCAAGCAACCAGGGAACAGGGTAGCAGCTCCGAGTGCCTAACAAAGATGGCTTGAACCCCAAGCTGGAAATCAGGCAACGTTGAGGCCTGCAAACCGGTTGTTGTCAAGTGACGCTTTTCTTTGCCATTTTGTAGCCACATGCCACGGTAGATCTTCCAAATGGGATATGTTTCGATACCCCAGAACGAGTCTCCCAGACCCACTTGCGAACTCGGAACCGACCAGGTTTGAAAATCCATCATGTCTTATGCAAGTTTTTGGGTTGGGAAGAGGTAGACACTCCTCCCATCAGCATTGGGTCTCCTTTTAGCAGCGCTGGATTTTGTGGGGCCTCTAGTCCAAAAACCCATGTTGGTTTGTCTCAAAATTGGGGACCCCCCCGCTAAAAAAGAAAGAAAAGACGCAGGCGTCGTGTTTTGGAAGGCCAACCAAAAGGGGTACCCCCCACCAACCCCCCCACCAAACATGGAAGTTTTCGCATCAACCGTTTTTGGAAGACGCCCTTTGACAAGGAGGTCTGTGCGATGGTGCCAAAGAAAAACGGGACACCCATAGCTTCTCCTGCCACAAAAGACCCTTTCGACAAACAGGCGGCCTTAAAGCCGCTGCCACCCGTGCCCCTGTAAGGCTACCCTCAACAAAGACCACACCAAAAGGTTGGGGGGTGCACAAAAAGCCGCTTAGAAAAGAAAGGAACACGAAAGAGGAAGGTGCCAGGGGGTCGCCCTTTTTGAGCGCGTGGAGCCCAGCCACCGCGCGCGCGTGAAAGCGCCGAGAGAGACGCGGACACCAGCGCAGGCCCGGGCACGCCCTGCACGAGGCGACGCTGCCACTGGCGCTGCTGCTGCAGGAGCTGCTGCCGCAGGCGTCCGAGCACGCAAAAGATATATGGCTGTGCAGCTGGGGTCACACAGGTTTTAGTCTTTGGTTCCATTTACCAAGGAGCCGTTTACCAAGAAGATGGGTGTGTGTATACATAGATATGGCTGTGGCTCAAAACCAATGGGATCCCATTTTGGTTGGTAGGTGCATTCACCACCCATTTTAGGCTTTATTTTTAGTGGGGATTGGGATGTTCACTGGGGGTACGATTTGGATTTTGACCCATGGCCATATATCAGGAATCCATCGTTTTCTTTCAGCTTGTGGTCCAAGCCCGGTTAAGTATCAGGAAGCCCGGCTAAGCATCACCTTGTGGGTGCTACTAGTAGATTGAGTTTTCTGTTGGGTCGTTTAAGGGGGAAGCATAGGGAAGCCTGGCTTCACTACTCACTTGGAGATTTTGAAAAAGGTGCATATACATGTGTATATACATATATATATATATATGTATATAATATAGAGAGATGCATATGCCTGTGTGGTTTTGGGGCGCGTTTTGAGGGGTTCTCCCCTTTTGGATGGTGTGTCCCTTTCAGGGACACCAAAGGAAGCCCGTCCCTTGCTTGGGGCTCCCCAACATGGCTGGGTACAACCGGCAGCTCTTTCCTCTATCCCCCAAAGCCTCAAACCAGGCTGGAATGGCACGTATGCAGAAGTAGATTTAGTGCTTGGAGGTATGATGTCAGCCTCAGAGAGTTGCCTTTCCCTATGCAAAGCTGCGACAAGCTTCCTTGTGTGAAGCACGGGTCACTTCAAGGGGGATGCTGGTGTCTCAAACATGTCTCATTCCGTCTCTTTGAAGCGGGCCGTGGGCCCTTTTGATGGGACACAGCAGACATTGGCGACACTCGAAGCTTTCATTTTGGTAGCGGGTTGCCAGGATCCTTCTTGACTTGGTCTCGCTTCTTTGGAACTTCCCTTGAAGCGACACGAGATGGCAAAGTGCTCTTGCTTATTTCAAATCTTCCAAACTCAAATGCCTCTGAGCTTTGTTTAATCTACAACAAGTTTGACACCAACTGTGTTCTATTGTTTTTGTTGCTTTCTTGCTGGGCAGACCCGTGCTTCTTCAACGATGCCCGCCTTTTTGTTTGGTCGTGAACTTGATTTGTGTCAAGGTCCGAGTTGCAGGGCTGCTCTTCTTTTGAGCTTGTTGGGGGACTTGGACCTAACAGTGTATGGGATCAATTCCCGGATAGCTCAAGTCTCGGCGCGGAAAATCCGAAGCTTCGGATGGGTTCAATCCCATCCACAGGAGTTTTGGAGTGAAACCTCTTTGATTCATCCGGAGACATCAGGTGCCCCGCCTTCCGCGTGCAGGGTGAGACCCTGGATTTCGTCGCTCACCCAATGTACTGCTTTCAATTGCGACCACTTTCAAAAGCTTACCAAGAACCACGCCACCTTCTCCAAACTCCGCCCCAACCCACCCACCCCACGCCAACTCAGCCTGGCCCTACTTTGGGTCGGGCGGGTCCGGCGGCGGCTGCCATTTCAGGTGCGGCGCCGGCGGCGGAGGCGCTACGAGGAGAAAGAAGCGGCCAGCGAGCCCGCGGAGTTGGACGAGGAGCGGCAAAGGTCGCCGTAAAAGTCGTGGGGGGGGTGGGTGGGTTGGGGTGGGGGGTGGGTTGGGGTGGGGGGTGGGTTGGGGTGGGGGGTGGGTTGGGGTGGGGGGTGGGTCGGGGTGCGGGGGCGGGGGGGGATGGGGGTTGGGGGGGGGGGGGATGGGGATGGGGCAAAGGTCGATTTAACAGCATGCGTGCCCTATAAAGGGGTGGGGGTGGGATGGGGTGATGTTTGGGGTTGTTGGGGGTTGTTGGGGGTTGATTGTTTGGGGGGCGGTCGCTTGAACAGATGTTGCAAGTGAACATGAACACAGGCGTCAAGGATGGGTCCCGAAGCGAAGGGTTGCACCGAACTGGCGTGTTACTGGGTCTAATAAAATCCTCAAAAGTTCCATCATGGTGGTCTAAAGAGAAACTACGACCAATTTTGAGGAGCCAACGAAGCTTTCGCTTCAAGGGACCCAGTACTTCCGTCGAAAAATGTGGATGGGACAACAAAACGGACAATTCCACCGTTCCAGATCTCAAGAATTGGGGTCATGTTGCTTGGCTCCGATATTTCCTTTTTTGGTGGGCATACTGGGGATGGACGAAATCCTGCACCACGAAATGAAACCATGGTTGAAACCGTTGCTTGTTGGTGTTTTCAGTGGAATCATCAGACACCAGGGTTTCCTAGGTGGTCCGAAATGGATTTCGCAACCTTCCACAGTATTACCTTTTGGTTGCGAACTGTGATGGAGTTGCCTTTTGGTGGGGACGCGCAAAGGCACCCTGCGCGAATTCGGATTCGGCTTTATGGGAAGGTTTCCTCAAGCTCCAACCCGGGAAGTCTGGGAAATCCAGTGCAGCGCAGCAGTGCTTTGCATGAATGGCCGTGCAGCAAGCAAACTCCATAGTTGATGATGCTCTTGATGCTGTCACCTCAGCCTGTGAAACACTTTTTGAGGGTGTGTCTGCAAATTCCGGCTTCCGGTCTTCCCTTTAGTTTCCCTTTCAATCCACCCCAAACATGTTTACCCTCAAAGAAGACACACCCCTTTGCGTGTTGCAGCAAACATTGCACACTTCTCGCGCAGAGTAGTCTTTGTATGTGTGTAGGTCGTACCGCAAGCAAAGTGGGCGCTGATATGAACCACATGGTCCAAAAAATATGGCATCCGCGCCTTTTGGGCCAATCATCGGGGTTCTTGCATTGTTGCATGAGCACAACGTGACTGTAGACTCCCGAAGGCCCAAGATAGCAAGAATGGAGGTTCGGCTTACTGACAAGCCTATGGAATACATTGTTGACATGTGTGCCATAATAAAAACTCACTTTTGCTTGGGGTTGAGAAGGACGGTCGTCAACTCATCGATCCTGTTTATAGAAAAGTTGCACAAGAACTGCAAGGAATCCCATTAAGGGAGCCGTGACCATGGCCCGCATAGGCATAGGAAGTCTTGACCATGGCGCATACGCGGATATTTTCACCTGTTGTCAGACTGGACTTGTCACCCCCCGGTTTCAAAGGCTCTTTGGTGGATGTCCTCCCTTTGACTATCAACTAATTGCAGTAGACAAAAGAGGACATGGCAGAAACGTCCCAAAACGACTGTCTGAAATGATGCAATCTTGCCAGCTTTGGACCAACAAGAAATTGCCAGCACGAGGGCACGCACATTTTTCCGCCATGGATTCCATTTTTCCGCTTTATTCCACTCCTCAAAACTTTATTTCCCTAACTGGCTCTTTTGAGGCGTTTGGAGAACCCTCCCAGTCTCCAGGCCATCGGGTTCTGGCGCAGCAGCCGTTTGGCGGAGCCGGGAGCCCGGGAACCGCCGCGCTGGGTTCTCGGCAGATGGCTCGACTCTTTTCGCCCAGGACAGCGACGGACTGGAGATTTTTTGCGGTTGGCTTTTCTGGGAACTCGGCCGGCTACGGAAAAGTGATCGCACACGAGAGGGTTGAAGAATATCTTCTCGAGCCGATAGGGACATGTCCGAAGTCTTTTCAGGAGCACAAAAGGTGCGAAATCATGGGAGGGTCCCCGGGACGGATGGAGTCACATGTGGGTTGGCAATTCTTTTGATCGTTCGCTCGATATGATCGCTTGCCCATTGGGCAATCAGTTGGGCTTTTGGCGGGTCAAAGACCACAGTAGCAATGTTCATCATCTGTAAAAGGCATGACGTGAGGTGCACGCACAGCACAACAAACGAGCACTGGAGAATGGGGTTGCTCGCCTAGCACCCACTGTTTTTGGGAGAGACACGGAATCTTCAAGGGCCCTGGTGAGAAAACACGCAGGAGAGTTCAACATGTAAGGAGACCCCTCAAAATGTTATGGTTCCATCCCCAAAAAAGTTCTTGATTGTATTCACACACAGCCATGTGGGGTTTCCGAAAGATAGGGGTTCCCTCCAACCCCGGTGGATTCAGGAGTGTTCTGGGTTTCTTTGTGTCCCTGTCAAGTCCTTACCCAGGGGGTGGGGCTGGTCACTGTTCCAAGCGTTATACATATCAACCTCGGATTCATCCAGGGCAACCTGCCCTGCCAGAGGAACCGCCCAAAGTATATGACTTCCTTACAAGGGAATATGACCCACAAACAGTGAGCAACTTTTTGCAGAGGGCCATGCGGTTGAATTCAAGAGGGTTGAGTGACCGCTCCCCATGCTTTAGCAGAGACTTCGCGGTGCTTGAGAAAGAAAAAAGAAGGCTCACGACCGATCAACTTTTTGCAGAGGGCTCCCGCCAGCAAGCAAGTTTAAAGTCCACCAAGCAACGGATGCCAATGCGATTTTCCGCCACCGAGTACGGCCCTTGGCTAAGCGACAGGCACCAGATCTCCAGCTCCTTGCTGCGAGAAGGGCCCGGCCCTCGCTGAATGTTTTCAGGTTGGTTTATGGTTTACATGGACACCAACAATGTGAAAAGGAAGGCAACACCATCTTGAAAGTGAACATCCATATATTTTGGCACATAAACCGCAAATCCTGAGCCCGCGCCGCCTTTTGGGGTTTACAACCTCCTTACAACCATGTGGGGCAAGCACAAAAAAAAGTCCACGCGTTGGCGCTGACTTGGCAAGAAGATGTTTGGGACCTGTGAAACAGTGACAGGAAACTGCCAGAGAAGTTGTATGATACGGGGTTCCACTTTTTAACTACCCCGAGGTAAACTTAAACCCAGGGGTCTCCCTTTGGGTTTTGACTAACTTGGTGTGATTCAATTACCTTTCTTTCTTCGGGAGCTCAGAGTTGGCGGGGCAATTTGGGTTTGAAGGGGCTTTCCTTGTCAGGTATATCTTTTTGAGCTTATCGGCCGGTTTGGTTCTAGGTTCTGGGATTTGTTCCCCCAAGGTCTCGGAAGGGGAGCAAGCTTTGCTAGGGGAGCGCATGGTGCGTTCCGAATTTCGTTTCGGACTCATCTCGAATTTGGCGGATCCACGGGTTCCCCGAATGCACAATGTGGCAAGTCGCCTGGATCTGCCAACTGCCAACGACCCGAAGAGTTTGTTCTCTGTGCTCCGAGTTTGGAAGGGATCCAATCTCTGAGGCCGGAGTACTTCATCTCCCACCTATGGCAGCCGGCGGACCAGGCGCACGGGTCGCGGAACCGAAGCCGGCCCGGCGCTCCATCCCGATCTGCCGGTGGCATGGGCCCGGCCCCGCGACTCTTGGGTTTGAAGGGAAAGGATGGCAACTGGTTCGGGTTCTGGTATCAGAAACCCCTGGATGAGTTCATGGAGATTCCCGGAGTGTTTCCACAGGCAGCTCTTTCGTGGGAGATTCTTTGACCCTGTCGCAAGAGGGCAGCTTGGTCCCCTGCAAACCGAAAAAGGGGGGATGGTTGAAGAGTTGAACAAGGTTGCAGGAGCTCGGAAATTATCCCACCGCCTGAGCTCCTGGACTTTAAAAACTTCTTTGGTTGCCATTTCAGTGGCAAATAACTTTAACAACTTTTCGGGTTTGGTTGCCATTTCAATGGTAAAAACAACTTGAAGCACTTTTCGGGTTTGCTTGCCATTTTCGCGGCAAAACGACTTTCAACACTTTTTGGGTTCGGTTGCCATTTTAGGTCACACACCGTTTTTTTGGGTTTGGTTGCCTTTTTGGTCGCGTTTTTGTTGTGTTGTTTTTTTTTTTTTGGGGGGGGGGGTTGGGCTTGGTAAACACCACACAAACTCTGGGCACTTTTTTGGTCGGCCGATCCACTCGCGCGGTCGCTCGAGATCCGAGGCGCAGAGCCGGGAGACCTACGCGGAGGAGAAGGCGACGTGTCGGTTGGGGACGTTGGGCGAGGGGGCTCGCAGGGGTGTGTGTGGTGTGGGGGGGGGGGTGGTTGGTAGGGGGGCCTTTTTTTTTTCTTCTTTTTTTTTTTCTTTTTCTCGAAATCCCCAAGGTTGGTACTAGAAGAAGAAAGCAAGCATTGTAAGGGTTCCCAAGGAACCATGTGCTGTGGATGTGGAGTTTCGTTATGGGCGTTTCTCAAAGGGCTCCGGGGTCCAATAGAAAGGGTTGGTTTGGTTTCAGCTGCCCTTCAAACACCAACCAACAGGTTGCTCGACAGGTGGAGGGGCACTACTTGGGTTTGTCCCAACATAGAGGGACCCCAAATGGGTGGTTTTCCCGCCGGCTTCCCTTTAACTTGAAGTTTTCAACCAAGAGCCCAATTTCGGGGTTGTTTTGGGGAGCCCCTCAAAATGGGTGGTTTTCCTTGTGGTTTTCCTTTAAAAGACACAAAACGCCTGGGTGCCCTTCTTTCTATGGCTGTGGGTTAAAACCAATGGGATCCCATTTTGGGGTAAGTGCACCCATTCTAGTGGGGATTGGGATGTTCACTGGGGGCTAACCGATTTGGCTTTTGACCCATGGCCATATCCATTTCCGCGCGCCCGCTTCCGCTTTTGATAGACGGCGCTGCTGAAGTCCTGGGCGATCACGCACAAGGCGCTGCTGGGGGAGGACAGGCGCGGGCTTCCGGGGCCGGGTGCGGGGGGTGGGGGAGACCGAGGGAGGGCGGGGGGGGGGGTTGGTTGGGCCGTACTGTGGAAGGCGACGAAATCACAGAATCCATTTCGCACCACCTAAGAAACCCTATTGCTGATGATCCCCCGCAAATACCAACAAACGTTCTGGTTTCAACCATGATTTCAAAGTGGTGCAGGATTTCGTCCATCCACCGTATGTCGACGAGTCGTTTCCGTTTCTTGTAGAACATGGAACAGTTAGTCAACACATGAGGAAACACATTTTCTTAGGTACCATACACAGACAAATGAACAAAAACACACAAATCAGCAAGCACGGACCAGTGCTGTCCGGTAGGCTTCAAGCACATAAAGCAACACTAGTTTGGAACGCATAGGTGTCCTTGTTGGTTGGTTTGCTTTAAAGATAGAGGGCCCTGGTTTAGATGGGGTTTATTCCACTTGCCAGGGCCATCTATGTTTCCAGAAGGCCACCTATGTTGGAAGGCCCTCCCGCTGAACTGCAGCATCGGAGCAATGTGAGGTCAAGTTGGCTAGTTAACTCATCAACGAGCCAGCTAGCTGGCCAGCCAATAGACATCTTTGGCCAGGCCACTCAGAGGGTGAGTCGAGAGGTCTCCAGAACTAAGTCATTGTTGATGACACTTTTTATTTTTTCTTCTTTTTTTTTGGGGGGGGGGGGGTTCTATGCTCTTCCAGCACATTTAATTGATGCCCACGCTTTTTGATGGCTCACCTCCAAAGCATCCTCACAGAACGGACACTTAAAGGAGAGACTGCCAGACTTCATTCCCCCTCCCACCCCTCAACCTTCCCGCCCCCCGACCGTGAGCGCCCCAACCCCTACTGGCCCCCGAATCCCGCAGGCAGATCCGGACTCCCTGGTTCCTTTTGGAGACCGAGCAGGCAGGGGGTGAACTGAGGGAAACCCCACGAGCAAGGGGTCCCGGATGTTTTATCCTTTTTGTTGGTTGCAAACATGTTTCAAGGGCAGTGTAGTGAACCCTGAGCAAGTGTTGCATGAAATGCGCAGTTGCAAAGCAGGGTTTGCAAAACTGATGCAGCGCTTGACCATGTCTGCATTGCCAATCGACGAGCAGGCAAGGAAAGCGACTACACATACCTCTGACGCATCCCCCTGAATTGAATCCGGCTGAAGCACGCGTGCAACCCATGTTTCATTCAAGGCGCGGGCCGAGTACGTCGCCGGATGGGACCGGCCTTTTCCTTGTGATCCACTGGGCTTGGGACCTCACGAGTGTACTGATGACTTTCAAAAACGCACAAAACGGCTTTTCTCTACCCCGAGGAATATCTTTCAATTCAACCCTTCAATCAAGCTCGACATTTTGCAGGGGCCGGTTCGTTTTTGGTTGGGGGGCCTTTCGGCGAGCTTCTCCCGCGCTCCCCGAAGTTCCACCCAAGAAGCCGCGTTTCCGGCGTCCGGGGCGTCCGGGGCGTCCTTGGCTGTGGCCGTAGGACCGGCGGATGGCGCTCCTTGACCCCAAGAACGCCTGGCACAACATGCGCTGCTGGGTGGACAAGGCGGGGGCTTCGGGTGGGAGTTCGGATATGGGGACTTCTGCGCGACGGAGTTCTCTGGCTCAAAGGGGGTCAGAGTCCCCTTGAAAAAAACTCCTTGGCTTGGCAGGTGTCCGGAAGGTCCGAAATCCATCTTGAACACCCCAGGTTGCAGACAAGAGAGGGCCAGATGCTTATACTTAGCAAGTGTAGCCATGCCTGTGGATGGACGAAATCCGTTTCGCACCACTTTGAAACCATCGTTGAAACCACAACGTTTGTTGGTATCTACCGGGGAATCGCATCATGGGCTTCTGAACGGCGGCGCGAGACGCGCGGATGGCGCGACCATCCACAGTATGATTAGTCACCTATTGGTTCCCTTGTAACACGGTCCAAAACGATGAGGTTTGTCATGTTTGGACACGATGGGGTTTGGTCGACTTCTCGGTGCAACGAGTTTGGTGAAAAGAGCTGGCCGCAGGCGTGCGCTCATCGAGGCCAGATCCGGATCCCGGATCCCGGATCCCGGATCCCGAGTCGACTGGGTGGGCGCCTTTTTTTCTTCTTGTTCTTCTTCTTTTTTCCCTTTTTTTTCCGCATCAGATGTCGCGCCGGATGGGTTGGGAGTTGGGTTTGCGTCATGGCGAAGCTTTCCCTTGTGGGTAGGGGTCGAAACACCGGGATACGGGCAGGTTTTAGTGCTTGTTTCCATTTACCAGGGCTTGCGCCATTTTGGGTATCTATGTTTGACAGCAGCCATGTGGTTTCGAACCCCTGGCTCCTGGTGTGGTTCCAGTCCTACAGGTCTGGAGGAGTGGGTTTTTGGTTTTTGTTTGAAGGTTTGGGGGTGTCTTTCAAAGGTTGCAGGCCAATCGGTTGTGACCTTCGACTGGCCTAAAGCCTTGGTGTTCGCACCTGGTTGCTGGGTTTTGGTGGAGGTTTTAGGTTTTTGAAGGTTTGTTTTGTCCACAGCTGAAAGCTTTGGGGTCGAACAAAAAATGCCCAGAGTGGTTCGGACGGACTGGGTTCGGGAAGTGTTCCGGGGCTTGCTATTGAGGATACCGCTTGTTGTGTAGTGAAACAGACCTCGGGCGCTTTGGGAGCAACCGCTCTGCAATGATAAATTACACGAGAACTCAAAAGACAAAGATAATGGAGCAAGAGAATGCGAAGACATCCCAAGATGTACGCATGATTCAAGGATATCTATGCCGGAGCGGTCTGTCCTCACTCACTCTTTCTCCTCTCCTATCTCTCTCCTCACTCCCTCACCCACAGACCGTTCCATCGTGAGTAGTGACAGGATCTCTAGACGTAAGAATGGAAGGCTAGAGCTTGACAGACAAGGAACGGTTCTCTGCCTCTTCCTCGCTCATCACTCAACCTCTGTTTCCAAGATAAAGAGTTGGGATGAGATATAGATGAAGGAAGGACGAGGTAGGATGGTTAGCTCATCTCTGCTCACTCTCCATCTCTTTTCCTTCCTCGTCTTTTACAGCATCAAATGCTGGGGAGTGGAGAGCACAGAGGTAAAATGGTGGTTGTCCGTCGTCCCGGCCTCTCTCCGCAAGCCTTTCTATTCCTCACGTAGCGGCTTAGCCTGCGACGCTTGCGCTGTTGGCCGTCCTTTCCTTGGTAAAGAAATACGGTTTGGCTTAAGTGATCTTGGCAGGCAAAGCGCTTTGAAATCACGATGGCTCTAATTGTTTACTTAGTATTCGACGAGATTGCATGCTGCATCGGGCCCCACAACCAGTTTACTGGCATCCTTCATTTGACCTGCCGCGAGTGCATTCGGTTCATGGAAGAACTTGTTGGATGCTGGGATGAACCGGCACATGACCTTTCGGGTGTCTTGCAACATTCCTCGAAGACACAGTTGCTCCCGTTTGGATGCTATGGAAGAAGAAGAAGACGACGAGGCCGACGAGGATGACGACGATGATGATCGGTGACGATGATGATGATGATTATTATTATTATTAAGATGAAGATGAAGATGAAGCTGAAGATGAATATGGATGAGGATGGTTGTGGTTGTGGTGGTGGTGATGATGGTGGTGGGTGATGGTGGTGATGATGGTGGTGATGATCATGATATTTTGACCGCTGTTGTTGCTTTTGCCGTGCTTGCTGGTTCGGGTGTTTGTTTCTGGTGTCGTCGTCGGTGTTTTTTCGGTCCTTTCCTTTCGCCGGAGGCTTTCCCGGCGCAGCGCCTCCTCAAGAGGCCTTGCGAGCCACCAAGGCGGGTCGGGGCAATCTTGACCCCCCTGGAAAGAGAACGTAGGGGTTCATTCCGAAAATACTTTGTAAGCATCCTTCTGGTCAAGTGACACCCCTTTCTCCATGCAAATCATTCCTTGTACTTAGATTCTTTGGGGTGATCCCTGCGCGTTTTCGCACTTTCTGGAGACTGCCCGGCGGCAGCTTCGAGCGAGGCTGGTGACGCTGTAGCCCAGGCAGCGGCAGCGAGCTGCGTGGCCGTGCTGGAGTGGTAGATTCCCTTTAAAACCAGGGAAAAATAAAACCAAGCTCCCCTACCTACCTTGCTAAACATCTAAATCACCAAGAACCAGTCACCAAGCACATTTGGCTTTCCCACCCCCGGAAAAATTGAAAATATGTCCAGTAGTGATAGACTCACTTTAAAGCCCGGGGAGAATAAAGCCAATCTCCCTACCTACCTGGCTATAAACATGCAAATCACCAAGAACCAGCCACCAAGCACATTTGGTTTTCCGACCCCCGGAAAAAGTGAGAAAATATTTCCAGTAGTGATAGATTCCCTTTAAAACCAACAGGGGGAAAATTTAAAAAATGGTCTTAAGCAAATGGAAGCCTGCCAACCAAGCTCCCTAATACATGTAAACCACAAAGCACCAAGAACCAATCAAAACCAACAGCCATCACACAGCCAACAACCACAGCCAACCAAAGGCTGCAAACAAACAACCAGTCCACCAAAAACTAACCGCCCACAACCAACAGTCTGGCTTCCAGCCGCGTCCCGGAGACCCTGGTGAAGGCTTTAACTACGGAGTTACAGAGATTGCACCTACATCTATGCCGGGAACGAAATGTTTTCTCTTGGCTCACCTGCTTGTTACCCCTTCTTTGCTTCCCAACAACAAACACCGCGAGCAAGCCGTGAATTCTCTGTTGACTGACCATGCTTGCCTGTGTGACCTGCGGGCAATCATTTCGTCTTGCATTCATGGTAGTTATGGTAGGACCAAATTTGGGCAACGATGTTGCACCCAACAGGCTCAGTGTGGCCTGAACTTCACCGACGTTTCCCTGTTCGGCTTCAAGGGTGTGGCGGACTGCACGGTGCCTGCTACATCTTCCCTGGAGAGTTCATCTGGACTTTGATCTTCCGCATCCTGCAGGAAGCCTTGGCTTTTCGGCCCGTCAATTTTGGGATCGAACCCAGCATCGCGCATCTGGAGGCTTACGTTGTCAGCGTTTTGGAAGGCTGGCTCAGCCATTCCTCGCTCACTGGCCAGCTGGACATATTTTAACATTTTTCCGGGGGTCGAAAAGCCAAATGTGCTTGGTGACTGGTTCTTGGTGATTTACATGTTTATAGCCATGTAGGTAGGGGAGCTTGGTTTTATTCTCCCCTGGTTTTAAAGTGAGTTTATCACTACTGGACTTTTTTCTTCCGGGGGTCGAAAAACCAACTGTGCTTGGTGACTGGTTCTTGGTGATTTACATGTTTATAGCCAGGTAGGTAGGGGAGCTTGGTTTTATTCTCCCTGGTTTTAAAGTGAGTTTATCACTACTGGACTTTTTTCTTCCGGGGGTCGAAAAGCCAACTGTGCTTGGTGACTGGTTCTTGGTGCTTTGCATGTTTATAGCCAGGTAGGTAGGGGAGCTTGGTTTTATTCTCCCCTGGTTTTAAAGTGAGTCTATCACTACTGGACATATTTATATATTTTATTTTTCCGGGGGTGGAAAAACAAAATGTGCTTGGTGACTGGTTCTTGGTGCTTTGCATGTTTATAGCCAGGTAGGTAGGGGAGCTTGGTTTTATTCTCCCCTGGTTTTAAAGTGAGTCTATCACTACTGGACATATTTTTATTTTTTGAGGGGGTGGGAAAACCAAATGTGCTTGGTGACTGGTTCTTGGCGATTTACATGTTTATAGCCAGGTAGGTAGGGAGCTATCACCTGAGCTTATTTATTTTCCCCTGGTTTTAAAGGGAATCTACCACTACTGGACATATTTTCTCATTTTTTCCGGGGGTCGTGCTTGGTGTCTGGTTCTTGGTGCTTGGTGATGTATGTAGCCAGGTAGGTAGGAGAGCTTGGTGGGTAGGTGGGTGGGTTGGTTGGTTTGTTGGTTGCTGAGCTTCAGGCAGCGATGGCCCACTGCCGGACCTTCCTGGCGGTGCTCAGCCCGGGGACTCAGGGGACGACACAGGGGAAGACACGTTTTGCGGGTTGCCCCGAGCTTTACGGTTGTGGGAATTGAGTTGCGGGTTGCCAAGCAATTGCGGGTTTTGAGGATTTGGAGGATGTGGAGGGTCCCCCCATCCTCCTTTTTCGTTTGAGGCCCTGAGTCCTTTTCAACTGGGACTGTGGCTTTCTGCTGTGGCAATGTCCATCGGTTGGCCCTCAGGTAGACAATCACGGGTTTTGGGAATGAATCTAGTCCTCCCTGAAAGGCTGAAAGGAAAGCACAAGGGATGTTGCAAGGTGTGTTTTCGCACTAGCTTGACATGGTCTTTTGAGCAGAACCGCCCTTGGCTTCGAAGACTCAAAAGGAAGGCGCAGCTTTTGGTGGGCATCTGAATCCTCTGCTCGGGGGCCAATTGACGCGATAGACGCCGATAGCCTTAGGAAGGTTCCAGGTTTGAGTCCATGGGGTCCAAAGAATGGCCTGGGGATTCTTGAGGCTTGTGGCCGCACTAGAGATGCCCCTGCTCTGCTCAGCTTTAAGCCGGGGAGACTTGGGTCCGAAGGGTTTGAAAGATCAAAGTTTGCAGGAGGTGTGGAGTCCTGGTTGCCACTCTGGCAGGAATGACCAAGGCTCCCGCCTCACGTCTTGGCCCGACTTGCGGAAATGACATATCAAGGATTTCCATCCGCTCTTCTCTGTGGTGACTTCCACAAGAAGTCATGAGCTCTCCTATCAGGCCCAGATGCTCTGATATCCTGTTTTTGGACCTGAGCTTTGGAGCGGATGATGCGGAGCTTATGTTGTGGCCTATCCGCATCACCAGTATCCGTCGGTTGAACCGGCAGGTTCAGGGGTAAAGACGGACGTCGTTCCGGGATTTGCCGTGCATGCCACCGGGTTGCCTTGTTTTTTGCGCCTTTCATCTGACTCTCCGGCCAGCCTGGGTCTTCTTCTCTCCGGATGCAAGCTCAGCCGTCTTTCTGAAACCGGTCGAGGAATCAAAGCATCCACGGAGCGATCAAATTCGCCGAGGATTGGGCAACATTTGTTCAATCAACTTGAAAGGGGAACTACATTTTAGGTTGTTAAACAATGGGCATTCAAACCTGTGGTTTAAACATTTGGATCTTGCAACGTTTTACTGCTGGGGCAGTGTGATTCAGCGGCTAGCGGGGCTTAAAGCCCTCGCCCATGAATCAGTTGGTGGCTGCTAATCTATTTCTTGAGAATTGATTGTAACAAATTGCAGGGGTTCTACGGTTGCAAGCCCTGTTGTCCTTCTTCCGCGGATCCCATTTCCACACATTTGTCGTACGGGACATGCAACCCCCCCCCCCCCTCACAAAAAACACAAAGTCAAAGTCGTCCGGTTTCTTTTTGGTGTGCCGGTGAGACAGCCGTTAAACGCAAAGAGCCTTTGCCTTTGGCTTCCCTGGAAACCACTCCCCTCACAAGAGGGATCCCTCGCACCGAAGCGCTTCGTTTTGAGGCCACGGCGGCTATTTCCGCCGGCTTTGGTGCTGCTATGAGCCGCTCGGCCTGGGCGTAAAACCGGGATTTCGCGGGCTTTGGGGCTGTGGGGATATGGGGATTTGGGGATTTGCGGTGTTGAGATGTTGGTGTTGAGGCCTGTCTAGACTTAGGATACCTGTTTACATTTTACCAGTGACTCAAAGTGAAGCAAAAATGAAATATGCATTCTACAACTGGGCCTACCTCTAATCATGGAGGGTTTGGGGTGTGGAATTTGGGGTTGAGGGTCTGGACGAAAGGCTGGTCTTATCGAGCCTCATGTGCCATTGTCGATTCCATTTCGAGACTTTCCAATCTGTTTTCGTTGGCTCCTTTTCATGTGGAAACCAGCTAGCAGATAGTTTTCACATGGACACCAGCCATGTCGCCGATGTGATCACATGGCTGCACCACACCATATTGTAAGTCACACGTGTTCTTTGTAATGCTGACCCAGGATTAAACAACCCGTCAAACTATTAGGGGGGGTGTTCCCTCCAAAAGTGATGAATCCCACTAAGGAGCCACCCCCCCTATTAATCAACCATGGGTACATTAATCCAGGGTTAGCATTACAAGAAGAGGTCTACACCCCCCTGTTCCAAAGCAACTGAATCCTGGGCACGGCGAATAGTTCGCACACTCTGGCTATCTTCCACACGAACAAAAAAGACTGCTTGCCTATCAGAGTGCCCGGATGCAAGCGAAAGGCCTTTACTTTTTGAGAGTGCCCCCTTTGTATTACCCTCGCTTTGAACACTTACGCTGACTGCAGACGGTCGGCACGGCTATGCTCTCGAGACAGGCTGTCATCGGCCTGACTGACCACAGGGAAGAGCAGGGATTGTCACCAACCCCTTGATTCTTGGTTTTTGCAGAAGTCCATCATTGTCAAGGATTCTTCCTTTTTCCAGCAGAAGTCCATTTTCAAGCACCTCCAGCAGTTTGTGGATTTTCCGGATCCTCCATTTTTTTCGAACAAATCCAGATCCCCACAGAAACGAGTCTTCGCCCCGCGGGCGAATCGCTCTCGGCGAGGTGGGCCTTCTTTGCGGCGCGTGCGGCGCCGCACTACCGCAGCCTGGAGCCGGGGAACCTGCGACGAGAGCACGACCCAAGCGACGAGTGGAGGCGTTGAGGTGTGTCTCTCTGAGTGTGTGTGTGTGTGTGCTTGTGTGTCTGGGGGGGGGGGGCTAGTGAGTGGCTTGTGCGGCTTTTTGAGTGGTTGGGTGCTTGCCTCTTTTGCTGTTCGAAGGAAGAGACCAAAGCGATGTGCCGGGGCGACTGATAGCCCGAGTATTGTGCAGTCAAAAGAGAGAAAGCGCGGGGCAGATGGGATTTTCTCCTTCTTGTCGAGGTGCCAATTGAGTGATCTCGAGGTACTTGTCGATTTGGATTAGTTTGGAGGTCCCTTTGCCCTCAGCAAGAGGTTCAGATCCCGGAACCGGGGCGAGTCATCCCAAACAGGATTCCAAAATACAAGGAGAGTCTCAGAGGGTTGGCCAAATTCCATCAGGCAAAATCAACACGCCAGCTTTGATGGGCACACTTGCAGGTCAAGCAACTGATTCCAAAGAGCTGCTGACACGGAAAACCAGTATCCCTGAAGTTCATGAATTGTGGTTTACAGGCTTTCTATTTGGGTGCGTGTCAAAATTTCGGGGGTATACGGTTGTTGTCCTTTGGGCGTCCTTTCAGGCCACCAGCCTGGAAAGGGTACCCTCAAAACTCACAAGCCGAGGATGAGGAGTTTTTCCCCACAAAAAACAGCCCTGGGAATAAACAAAGCATAATACCCTAACCCAATGGTACATGAATGAATGAATGAATGAATGAATGAATGAATGAATGAATGAATGAATGAATGAATGAATGAATGAATGAATGAATGAATGAATGAATGAATGAATGAATGAATGAATGAATGAATGAATGAATGAATGAATGAATGAATGAATGAATGAATGAATGAATGAATGAATGAATGAATGAATGAATGAATGAACAAATAGATCAATAAAACAATAAAATATATTAAATTAATTAATTAGCTAATTAAATAAAAAAAATACACCAACTATATATATATATATGTATATATATATATATATATGTGTATAAAAATGCAAGCACTCGTGGCACTTGGCCCTCGCCGAGCCGAGGGTTCTGCTGCCCGAATCCCTGCAACAGCCCGGAGCTCCGGTTGCCCCACCCGTCGGACGGGTTGGGGAAGATCTGTCTCGTGGGTCGGTCTTTGCTTTTGAAGCCCTCGTTTTGCCTGGGGAAACCAAATCTCATTTGTTCTTGAAGCCTCTTTTTGCGTGGCTTGAAAGGAAAGACACACAGAGGAACATGTTTTGTTCAGTTTCTTTTTCGTTTCCCAGGTTGCCCTTCATATATTGCCAGAACCACGCACAGTAACAAGCCTTGATCAATTCCGGTACAAGGGCCTATATGGCCTGAGAAGTTAGAATGGGGTAGCGGGGTACTGAACAATACCTGAGTCATGGTCATATGAGGAACATGTCGTGAGTATATCGCCCCTCATATTAGTTTGCCAAATGTTCAATTCGATTTGCAACATTTAGGGGTCCGCTGCAGCTAGCTGCCGCCTTTGCCGCCCAACCTCTGCAGAGCCTAAAGAGAGAATGTAAGTTGTGGCATTTCCAGTCTGCAGGGTCGGACGGACCCTTGATCAAGTTCAGGTTGATGGTATCAATGAAAAAACAACTGAACAACGATCCGTCGCTTCCGCACTCTGTGAAGCTTCGATACGCCTGTACAGTTTAGCAATTGACCATAGTCTTGGATTTGTTTGGAGCGAGGGTGCTTCAATCAATTGTCATCAACATCTGAAGATAGGGGACTCCCTTTCGGATGGTAAACGGGAACTCAAGAGCAGGCCTCTGTGGATTCGCCTGGCCAGGGGGGGACCTCTTGTGACCAAGGCCTTGTGCCTTTTAGGCGACTGTTTGTGTCGGAAAGCCACGAGGACACAACGGCCATATGTGGTTGGCACCCGTTGGGGGTCTCACCCAATTTCAGCGGCCCCCAGACACATTCGACGAAGGAATCGCCACGAATCGCCACCCCAGGAACATTGGAACCCACCTGGGGGAACATTTGTGTCCAAATTTTGACCCATGGGAGCGTACATGTCCTTTCCTTGCATTTTGTTTGCCTGTATGTGTATTGCTGAAAATTGGAGATCCTCCCAAATGGTTTGTTCCCTTGTGTTTCTTTTCTTTGAGGACCTGTTTAAGGTTGGCTTCAGGGGAAGAACAAGAAGAGCAACCCATTTTGGGTCTATTTTGACGCTCGCTCGTCTTTCTTTGCTGGCTTTGAAGGGGAAGCCAGCAGGAAGAAATCAAAGCCAGTTCGGGATCCAACCTGCAAAAAGGACAGACTCCTGGCCACTAACATGGACCGCACAAACCCTTTAAAAGGAAGTTAACATGGAACCCACCAGAGAAATGGTCCGTCTCAAAGCCAAAAGTGGGCGTGGCTCAACACTGAAGAGCTGGGGTTACGCAGGTGTGAGTCTTTGTTTCCATATACCAAGCTGCCATTTGGGGGATTCCATTTTGTGCGCCACAGCCGAGTAGTCCAAACGTCGGACCGCTCCAAACGTCGGGTGCCAGTGGATGGGTTTCCCTGTTGAAAGGCAGAGTGAACATGGAACCCAATGGGCCACAACACGCCTGTCTTGGTTGCTGATCCTCTGCAAAAGGCTTACCACTTTTCGCGGGTTTCGTGGCACACCCAACTTGAAAGTCCACTTTGGACCCCACTTTGCCACAACTTTGGACCTTAAATGGTCTGTGAATCCTCAAACCCAACAGCCCAAAAGTTCGAAAGTCCAAAGATCCGTCGCCCAGCTCCGTGCGGCCGGGGCGCCGACTCCCGCCCTCGGCGCTGAGGCCTGGGCCCTGGAAGGAGCTGCTGCGGAGCGTGGCGGGGTTTCGCCTGGAGGAGCTGAGGCCAGGGGGAGGGGAGGGAGGGGAGGGGCGGGGGAGGGGGGGGGGTGATGAACATCCTGAAGAGAAAATGTGGGTCCAGCCATTGTTTTAACGGTGGTTTGAACCCCAGGGCTAAGGTCCTCATGGTTTCAACAATCAGGGTTTGCTACTTGGGCGCCTGGGAATGGGACCGGGGGGAGGTGTAAACCCCCACAAGGGTCTACAGGCCAAGGGTGAAGCGTTTGGAACATGAGTCCTTCCTCCCTGTTCCCATACACTATGTTGAGCAAGGAGCCGGTTCTCAGCTTTTCCCTGACCCAATGGGGAAAATGTTGAATTGGCCCGTTTTGTATTTGTTTGGTATCCCTTTAGACCACACAAGGCAGGGTTCAAGAAGGGGGGTCACATGTTTCACAAACCGGAAGTTCATTTTGTGTGTAACTGCCATTGGTTCATCCGGAACGATGCTGGGAGATGTAGGGGCCCATGTTGCACTGGGGGCTAAAACTCGATGCCTGAAGCCCAGGTAAACCTTAGATGGCGGCTTGGATTGGTGATTTGGGGATTTGAATTCTTGGTTTTTGTAGGGAACCAGTCCGTCAAAGTTTGTTGGCCGCAAAAAAGCCGGCTATGCCATCTCTCACCCAGCGGTATCACAAGTGTACGTCTGAAGAAGTGTGGATTTTTCTTTTCTGGGGGATTCCTGAGGGTTCTAGAGGTTTTGGGTAGTTTTTTCTTTCTTTTTTTGGGGGGCTTCTGGGGAGTCTAGAGGCTTTGGGCGATGGCTTGTAGGTTTCTAGGGCTTTGGAGGTTGGAGGTTCGGTTGCTAGGAGTTTATTGTAGGTTTCGAGGGGTTTGGAGGTTGGGGTTCCGAAAGTCGTAGGGGTTTCTCGAGGGGGGATTTGCTTTTTGGGGGTTCCAGTTCCTGAATCGAAGGATTTGCGGTTTTTGAATGGGTCGCCTTTCGTGGCGGATGGTAGGTCACGAAGGAGCGGTTCTGCGTATGAATAAACTGGGGGGGACCCATTTCTTTTAAAATGCCAATTGAAACGGGTACCACAAAAGCACAGTCACCTGCACATGGGTGGGAGGCCCTCATATCGGCGTTGGTGATCAGCCAGGTGACCTTCTCTTTTTGGCCAACGTTGGTTGGAGCTCATAGATTGCTCGCACCCTGACGCCGCTTTTCCACCGAAATGCTCCGTGTAGTGATTGCACACCAAACCTTTTCGCTGGGGGTGGTTTGGGTGGAACCCCTCTGCGACAGAAGAAACACTGATCTCTCAAACGCCATGTTGCGACTGCCAGTCGGCACATGGACACTTTGGGCCGAATTGCACGCCGCCTTTGTCAGCTGCTTCGAAGGTTTCTACATGAACCAGCATGATGTTCAGGTGGATCCTTTAAGGGACCCTGTTTGAAGGTACCTTTTTTGGCAAAGTGGATGCCCCAACTCTGGGAACCAACACATGACCGCTGCCATTTTCTTCGTGCCCTCCTCTTTGTTTGATACCCTGGTTGATTTTTTCTCATTTCGCGTTTTCCTATCCCCTTGTTGTTTTTTTGGGATTCCTCGTTTTTCTCGCCCTTTTGTCTCTCGGTGTGGGGTCGCCCATTTCTCTGGTTCTGAAGGCGCCCGTTGCCGCTTCCCGCGGATCCGCGGGATCTGGCGCAACCCGGGCCCGCGCCGAGCGCCTCGCGCCGAGCCGAGCCGCCAGGTGCAGTGGGGAGACCATGAAACTGGAGCTCTGGCAGGACCTCAAGGAGTTGGCTGCCCGGCACCCGGGCACCCAGGCGCCGAGAGACGTTTTAATGGGTCATAAAATTAAACCAGGAAATGAACCGGTTTGAATGTCCTCGGTTTCATCTACCATTCCATTTTTGGGTTTCCCGGTTTCCCTTTTGCCCAAGAAAAGGTCCTCTCTGATGAGCTTGGTTAGGAATAGATTCCAGTGGGTCAGATTGGTGTTATGCCCCCCATTTGCCGGGGCCTCGTTTTATCAAGAGGACACCCACAGTATCGGTGTGTGTGGGGCTTCAGGTTCGCTCCGGAGCACCTCGAGTCACAAATCGATGCGCCAAGCTTCTTGTGATTCGCCATGGGCGTTGGTCGCGCAGACAAATTGAATGTCAGGTTTCGATTGTGACTCAAGTGGTCGGGGTCCGCGGATGATGGTATCAAAACACCAATCTACAGGAGTGTGGACATAAGTGCCACGCGCGCACACAGAGCGATGGACAGAATGTGGGCAAAAATACGTGGAGGAAACCAGGCCCCAGCAGGCAAGTGGAACAAAGGCAAACACGTAGTTTAAAACAACAACTACCGCGACACGATTCAAGCCGTGAGCCGATGCGCTGGGTGGAGGTGGCTCTTCTAGATGAAACTGAGGCTACTTGCCAGAGTGAGAGAGGTGATGACTGCTACCCTCCAGCGGGAATTGTCCAACTTCCGCCGTCCCATGCCTTCCGCGGGCCCAAACGCGGCACCGAGGTGGACGATGACGGCTTCGAGGGCTTTGTGAGGGCCACGGCGCTGGCGCTGCTGACGCCGGGGACGCCAGATCGAGCGGACTTGCGGATGTGTCAAAGGGAGACCACTTAACAAGTTTTAAGCTTGGCTTCTTTTTAAGCCCAGGGCCAGGTTTATATTTGTATATGTATGTATGTAAACCCCTATATATATACATATATAACAATTCCTATATATATATATATATGATCCCGTCCTCCGCCCTCCTACCCCCCCCCCCCCCGCCCCCCCTCCCCCCCGCCCCCCCTATATACACATAGCCCTTGCATGGTGCTTCCATATCCGTTTGCATATCCCCCATTTACCCCCTTCCACCCCCCGCCCCCATCGCCAGGCTGCAGGCGCTGCTGCGGCAGGCGGAGACCTGCGCCGCCTTCGGCAGCGCCTCGTTGGAGGCGGCCTCCGAGGCGCGCGCGCGCGCGAAGTCTGCGAGCGGGAGGCGAGTCTGGGAGGGGGTTGCGCGAGATCCGCCGGGGTTTTGTAGGTTCGAAGAAGGGTGTATTTTGGGGGGTGTCTGAGGATTCCAGAGGTTTTGGTGGTTGTGGTTTTTTGTTTTTTGGAGGGAGGGTTTGGGGGATGGACCCCAAATCTGTGGTTCTTTTTTTGGCGGGGGGAGGAGACCGCTTTTCTCCTTCTTGCTCAGCTGAAAGCTGTAGATTTGGTCGGTACGGCTCGGTCGGGGGTAGTTTGGGGCAGCTTTCAGGCAGGGTTCTGGAGATTCGGTTCCAGGGTGGTTTCCGGGGCTGTTGGGCTTATTATAAGGCAGCGCGGTTTGTGGGTGTCAGGGGTCGATTCTGAAGAACATCTCAAAACGTTTTGGTTTTCAAAATCACCATTGGGTTGCAAAGTATCTTGCCAGCTTCCTTGATATTGAAAGGGGAAACATGGGGAAGCCTGGTCCATCAAATGGAGTCCAGTTAAAAGTCCCGGAAACCAGTCCCCGACAAATCTGTTTGCGAGCGGGTGGTTTCTTACATGTCTTTTGCTTAAAAAGTCCCACCCATCAAACCCACCAAGGTGGTATTACGGTATTCCCAGTTGTCCTCCAAAATCAGATGGCTTTGTTACGGACGGGGATGGGAATCATTCGAGTTGGCTCGCTGCAGTTCTACCCATCAACCCCACAAAGGGGGTACTGATTGTTGTCCCCGAAAAAAAAAAAAAAAAAAAAAAAAAAAAAAAAAAAAAAAAAAAAAAAAAAAAAACAATCCGATGGCTGTCCTACGGAGGCCTGCGAGGTGGCGGGGCTGCGAGGGTCCGGGGCTTGGCTGCCAACGGGCCAACGGGCGGGCAAGTTGAGGTGGACCTGTTTGTTTAGGCTAGTTTGGTTTAAAGGGAAACCAACAGGAATCTCAGTGATTGTAGAGGTTCCCCTGCCACATATGTACTCCGGTGGAACCCCTTGCTTGCTGGTGCGATAGGCAATGAGAAATGGAATGACCCTGCTTCTCTTATTCGGGGACCAAAGCCTGTGTTCATTGCATTTCTCGTTCCCTGAGCACCAGCAAGAGGAAACCGAAAGGACACCCAGCCATTTGGGAGGTTTCGGGCGGTGTCCTTCGATTTTCAACCCCCCGCTTTTCGTAAGAAAAAAAGTGACGCACCTGGGAATGTGTTGAGGTACTTGTCAACTAGGGATTTGGACTCCGAACTGGCCTTGCTTTTTCCTTTTGGTTTACTCAAAAACACACCCAAGGCGAAAGGCAAATGTCCTATGAAGTCCACATCATGTTAAGAACCCAGCAACTGAAGGGTTTTTTGTAAACAGATGGTTGAACACTTCTCCAAAGCCAACCGGGAGCTCGGATAATTCAATGTTTCCAGATCCAGATGAGACAAATACTGATGTGGACGTGTCAGAACGGCCGGACAAAGCACCATACGCGTACTCATATTCATATCTTCTTGCAGGTGCACGTGGCAAATAGGGAGTACATATCTACACAGCTACCGGCGTATCCTGATGGAAGCATGTTTCACAATTTAGCCTTCCATGGCTTCGCCGTGGGGTTAGGTCTTTCCACTTTGCGTCTTTGTTTCCCTAGGGCTCAGTTCAGGTTTCTTTATGGTTCACGAGTTGCGAAAGGTGTGGTTTTTAGGAGGTGCCTAGTGTCCAGTTCCTCCGCAGAAGTTGTGTTGAGATAAGGAATTTCCCTGCACCGTTCTTATCTTGCTGGCGCAATAGGCAGGGAATGAGAAATGGACCCCTGTAAACCATCCAACTAGTGGTTTACTGATGGTTTCCTTTATTCGGGTATCCCCACATTCCAACTTATTCCCTTCCTATCGCAGCAAGTGATTGGTCCTTCGGATTCCGCAGACATTCTCCCATCCCATGTTTTAGAGCCCAGGCCCGGGCCAGCACGGCGCAAATCCGGCCAACGTTTATTTGGCTCGAGTGCGTGGGTCGTTTCTAGTCCAATGCCTTTCGAGCTTGCGAGCCATTGCGCAGTTCTGATCCTTCATCTGAGCCTTCCAAATGGTTTCGGAGCTAGCGGAAGTCTTTCTGCCACCTGCAAAGGTGCTCACACGTAGGGTGTTGTGTGCTTTGTTGTCCAAGTCTTTTGGAAGCCCTTGACGTCCCCCGTTTTTCCAACGTCGGGAAGCACCAGGAAGACTTTGGTGAAAGCTAAACTTTTAGCAGGGGAGCAGAAAGCAACCAAGAAGACGTTTTCGAGCGCGCTTTTCTGCGCCGAGGCTGGGGAAGATCCTGAACACCGCCCAGCCCATGATCTGGTGGCGCAGCGCGCCGGAGGCCAAGAGGAACTTCCATTTGGTTAAGCATTTATTATTATTATTTATTTTTTTCCTTGTTGGTTTTAAAGGGAATCTATCACCACTTGACATATTTCTATTTTTTTCCAGGGCACTTAAGCAAATGCAGGAAAAGATGCCGCCAAACCGATTCTGAAAAGGAGCGACCCTCGAGCGACGTCCTCAAAGCACGGGTAGATGGAGGTTAAGGGAGAATCCCACAGCCATAAATGGGTGCCTTCGCCGCCTTGAGGCTTTGATCATGACTCACTGGGTCTTGGGTTGGTCGAAGCCCGCCTGGTTCCATGAATGGGTCACAAGGCCGACAATAATTCTAGCATCGACCCCAGATAGCGTGTGAGATTTGACCGGAATGGCTCATTTTTTCGGCAGCGAATCAACTCCGCAAGTGACACTGCAACCACGAACCATTGTGCTGCGCACATATATATATATATATAAGTAAATATGGATACATATATATATATATATATATACAATGTATATAATGTGTTCTGTCGGAAGCAGGGGAGACTCCCTCCAAATTTGGTTTTCCTTTGCTTTTCCTTTCAACCGTACTTGGCTTTGAGCCTGAAACAAGAGACACGAATCGTGTGTCCCAAGCAATCCTCGCGGTTACTTTGGTGTCCCAACCTAAACAAGGGAAAATTGGTTTCACGATGGTGGAGTGTGGGTTCTTTGTGCTCCGCGCATATCAATGCCCATGGCAAGGTATTTGAAAGAAACGGCAAAATCGTTGGCCACCGGGCCACCGGGTTTTTGGTGTACCTGAGACAGGTGAAGTTCAGCTCAGCACCCAACTGAGTTGACTTGCCAGCACTTCCAACGTTTCTTGTGCGAGCCTTAGGCCTCGATTCTCAAGGCTTGTCTCCCCTTTCAGCTCTCCACATTTGGGGGAAGCTTGGGGGGGAGCTGGGGGGAGGGCGACTGGTGGAATCCCCATCAGGCGCATATGCTTTGAGTAACTTCCCGCAGCGCCTCGGAAAAGATAGTGAAAAGAGGTCCAAAGCTTTCTCGGTCCGGCTCTCAAACTTTATCATTTGGGTATGGATGAAAATGAAACCACCAGGATACGGGCAGGTTTTAGTGCTTGGTTCCATTTGGCAGGGGAAGCCATTTTGGGTACATAATTTTGGCCCACAGCCATTTATTCAACGGCTTCTTTTGGTTGAACAAAATCTGAATTCTCTGGCCAGACAGCTCAGCAGGTTAGTCTCCCTTTGCACCTCCTTTCAACATCCATTTCTGTGTGTGCGTGTTGTCTTGAGGGTACCCTTCTCAGGATGACCAAGAGGAGCGCCACATGATGTTCGGCTCACCCTGCTTGATACACTCACATTCATAGATGTGTTTTTTGGTTTGCTTTGGTCGAAAAATAGGTGGCCCTGGTTTACCTGGTGGTTTCATCATCTACCAAAAGCCATCTATTTGCCCCAAAAGGACACCTATGCATGTTCAACGCATCTCCGAGGTACCGGCAGCAGCGCACTGAGCGCCAACGGATGGCTCGGGGCCCCATACCCCTCAATGGATGAGTGGACGTAACTCCAAGCGTGTGCATGCCCACAAAAATCTCCGACCTAGACCTAGCAAGATTCATCAGTGGCAAATGGCCAGGGAACACTTTTGAGTCAATCCAGTGAGTGATGCTTGGCATCTTGATCCGTAGAGAGGGGTAGCTGTGCGAATCTGGATTGCGTGTCTTCAATGCATCTTTTGCGCGTCTAAGACTCAGGTCTTGGACACGTCCGGTGAATGCGAGGCCTCAAGTGTCCGCCAATGTTGTCATTTTCAGCATGAGGTCAGCGATAATGTTGACCCCGGATTAATAAACCCCTGTTTATGAATATGGGGGTGTCCCTGGTTTTAGTGGGGATTTATCACTTTTGGAGGGGAACCCCCCCATATTAATAAGCAGGGGTTTATCAATCCGGGGTCAACATTACCGGCGTCTTAGAGATCCTTGCCTAGAGTGAAACAGGTCACTTCCACGGTCAATGTAGGCCCGTTGCATAGCGCCGAGCGTTGCAAGTGGACCAGAAGTCTCCAAAAATTCCTTGCGCTGACCAAGTCGCCTGCTTGGATCGAGGGTGTCTCCTAATGTGGGCCCTCAAAAACGTGTGGTTTGCTTTTGCCTTTCCATTTCACATCCAAAAGGATCCATCCAAAGTTGGCTCAGCACCACGCCTAGCCGAGGTCAGCAAGGCGGATGCGCATCGGGTGTGGGAGAGCCAGGTCACCCATGTTTTGAGTGGATGGATGTTTCTTTTTGACTCTTGTGAGGCAGGTTTAATGGGAAACCAAAAGCAAGAAACACCAGTTAGTGCGCACCTCCTATTTTGACGCGCACTCATTTGGCGGCGTGCCAACGTCAGGCCCTTATAGTCCGCTCATTCTTTGGAAAGATCAAAGATTGCACTTTCTTTTGCTTCCCCATGCAATGCTTGGGTGGGAAATGCAACGCCTGCCTGATGGCTGATTTGATGTTAACCAAGTTGTCCCCATTTAGGAGGGGCTCACTGATGTTGACAGTGGTTTGAGAAACATGTGATAGCGATGATTTTAAACCATGACCCAGTCGCGGCGGTTCAACGAAGTTTCTGACGAACAAGGTTGATCAAAGCTTAGACAGCCCACAAAGAGGGGACATCATGCAAACACAGACATTAACAACACTGAGCATGCGCCGGATTGTTTCTCACCTGGCTTTGCGCGGCTTTCCAGGCTTCCATTTACCAGCATCTCTTTCGTCCTAGTCAGGTGGCCTCTTGCTTCATGAAACGATGTATGTTATTCAAATTTGTGGGACACCTATGGGAAATCTGATCATTCTTGCTGGTAATTCACCATGGCCCAAAGCTGCGTCTCAAAGTTTCGATTTCGTTTCCCGGCTATCTGGCTTCCACTTGGAGTCTTGGATTCTTCCACCCAATGCTTCGCAAAATCGGTGTCTCACGGTCTGTGGCAGGAAAACCGGGAGAAGACCCCAGGCGCGCCCTTCGTTTCATCGGCTGGATGAAAGTCTACACGAAGGTCACGCAGAGGGGTAAGAGGAGCGCGATTCCCTGACATACTTGGGTGCTATTTGGTTGGATCTTTGACCTTTAAACTATTTGGGGAATTGTGTTGCTTTTCCCGCTGAAGCACAAAAGGCCAAGCTTTTTTAGCGCAGGGGGCGGTAGCCACCAAGAATTTGCATGAACTGAGGTTGGTCAACTTAGCTTTTCAGAGTACTACCGGATGTTCAGGACTTCCGAGGAGCTGATTTCACCGGGTTGCGTGGCTGGGGCTTGCAGTGTGCAGCTGGAGATTCGGAGAAAATCTTTGACTCGGCTTGGGTTAACGCACTTGAGTTTTGCTCCATCTTTGGGCCCCTCTTTCCAACGGAAGTGGACGATCGGGGGCCTTTGCAAGATCGTCTTGCCAAACCACTTCCCAGACCCCGTGTCTTCCTCAAATAAGCCACCAAGAATTGCGGGTGTGTCGTTGTTGAGGGACAGGGTACTTGATTTGGGGGGGTGGGGATGCTTTTTATCGTATGTCAAAGCGCGTCACCGCGGTATGGGTTCTTTGGAGACCCCATACCGCAGTATGGGTTCTTTGGAGACCCCATTTTGAGCTCTTTTGAAGCGCTGCCCTGCCCAAAAGTGGCAAGGCCTCCCAGAGCGCGATCCTTTGGAAGCGCCTGGCGCCTGGAGGGCTTGAGGCTGAGGGCTTGGCTTGGCATCTGGAGTCTGCCCATGTGGCGACGTGAATTATGCTGATATGGGGTCCGTTACTTGGGGATCTAATTCGTAGTTCAGAAAATTTGGAGCTTATTTTTCCAAAATGCAGATAGATGTGTTTCGGCAACTGACGGTGCGGCCAGAGATTGGTGGCCGAAACACACATGAAGGCTCCGGTGTTGGGAATTCTTATGAGGGTTGCTGCATTATATATATATATATGTATATACACTCATAAATTCACTCAGCTTGGGCCCCTTATTATAAAAGTGTAGGCTTCCTCTTGAAAGTACGCCAAGCTTGCCCCAGGTGGCAAAGGACCACCCTGGAGGGAGCCTGTGATTCGCACTTGGGTCGCGAGTTGCCACAGCAGACAATCCAAGCTGGTTTCAACTACTCTACCCCCGAAAGGTTCATGGGATATGCAACCACCGTACCCGTTTTTTCCCCCGAAAAGGGTGTTCGCCCGAGTTTGGACTTGTTTGGGTGGCTTGCGCTTCGGGAGTAGCCTAGTTTGACTGGCTAACGTGGCCAAACCCGGCCACGCTTTTGCAATTGGAGCTCGAAAGGCAGGAGATTCTTCCTGTCTGGGTATGCACTGGGACTGTGCCCTGTCCAGAGTGGGTTTGCCTTTGTTTCTCTTCAAGCCAGAAAGGCCTTCCCCCCAACATCTTTTGGACGGGTCGGGTTGTTGCAGTTAAGATCCGGCTGCCGCCTTTTTCCAGAGGTTGCTAGCCCGCTGACCAGAATCTGTGATGCAGAGACCAACTTGCTCCGGTGCAGCGCTTATTGAATTGAATGAACCTGTACCTTTTGGTCGCTTTCATTGATTGTTCCGGGAAGTTCACGCTGGTCAGAACAATGCCAAGGAGTACTCTCCCACGAATTAACATGGAACTTGACGTCCGGGGGGGGCATCAAACTCATGGACCATCCCCGCCTGCCAACGGTTCGAGTTTTTCTAGCTTTTTGTTGGCCACTCCCGATACATGGTCCAGTGAATGCATCGAGCGCATACCCAGAATCCCCAATGGAACGGATTCATGCTCTACAGAAGTTTGGTCACAACAAAAAACAACAACGAAAACAACAAATCCGACAACAGAAACAACAAAAACAGCAACAGAAACCACACAACAACAATGCACACACACACACACAAAAAGACAACCGCTGCGAACAGAGAAGCAAAAACCACCGGGCATCCGGGGGGTTTGCAACTCAGGTTGGCGCGGTTTGTGGACCGGAAGTTCTTCGACCGAGAGCCAGACCCGGAGCCGGGCGAGGCGCGAAGCGCCTTGAAGTCTGGGGGGAGGGTGCATGCGGGGGGTGGGTGGTGGGGGGGGGGGGGCGGGCAGCTTGAGGTTTGGAGGTCTGGGATGGGCGTGGGGTACGTTCAATTCACCTGGTTTGGCTGGTGGGCCGGTGGGCTGGTGGGCTGGTTAGTTCGTTGGCTTGCGAGCTCGTTGGCTCGTTGCTGGCTCAAGCCATGCATCCAACGTACGGTTCCATTCAAGCTCTGTGTTCCTCAAGCTGACAGCCATGGTTGTGGAACTTGGGATTTCATCACAAAGTGGTCAGAGACTTTGATATCGCAAGGCCCAAGTGGTTGCTGGGCATAAATTATCCCCGCCTAAATGGTGTCCACCACAGGGTCCCTTCTGAATAGAAATGACACCCAGATCGAAATCCTGCACCACCTAAGAAAGCCTGGAATGTTGATTCCCCTGTAAGCGAAGCGGATTTCGTCCATCCACAGTATCACCAGGGGCCCATTTCTTAGCGTCAAGGCGGAGCTGCAGGAGGAGGATGCTGAGGACGCGAGTCTCGAGTCGCGGTTGGATCGAGTTGTTCCTGGTGGGGATGAGCTAAGGAGGCCAGGGCCTCATATTTTTGAAGGAAAATCAATGTTTCGATAATTTCCTGGCGAGTCCAGCCGAGTTTGACCGAACCATCCGGAATTGTCAAAATAAGGGGATCGCCCCCCCCCCCCCCCCCAAGAAATTGTCGTTTTCCCTCTGTTTCCCTTCAAGCCAAGACAAAGCAAACGCCGCTTGGTTTCGACATGCTCAACCTGTCCGAGGCCTTTGAAAAAAAGTCTGCAGCTTCAGCTCGCGGGTGAGAGTTGGAACCCAGGGCAGAGAGCCCAAGATCCGCAGTTTTCAGTTGCAAACGTGGCGCGGTCAGCCTCTAACTCACAGCCCGCTCCAGCTCCTCGATGTTGGGTCTCCACCTTCATTCCGCTAATTTGGGCATCGGCGGAAGTGCCAAGTGCCAACTGAGCGTGGCTCCTGCCAGAGCGCAACTCACAGATTTCTCCAAGTGTCAAACAAGCTGAAACTCCTTTTGGTTGTCTTTTGGATTCCCTTTGAAACTGCATCCACAAGTGTCCCACAAGGGTCCCTCCACAAGGGTCTCTATTGTTACACATGACTTCTACCGGGTCTGGTCAAATCCCACCGGCAAGAGCAGGTCTTTTGAAACCCGAAAGCGGGGGGTGCCCTCCAAGATGTGATAGACACATACATTAAGTTGCATTATTCCCCAACAGCTGAAAGCTTTGGGGTCTCAGCCCAGATAGGCTCGGGGTAGTCCGGGGCGGCCCTGAGGTAAGGTTCCACGAGGGTTCTATCAGGGTTCTATCAGGGTTCACCAGGGTTCCACCAGGGTTCTGGGAGGGTTCTGGGAGGGTTCTGGGAGGGTGCTGTTGGGGATATCGCCTGAGCTTATTTCACTTACCTGCTTTACGCTCATTGAGTATGCCATGTAAGGCAGCCCATCAAGCGTGCCTGCCAAACAGTCACTATGTTTGGCGGCTCGAGCTGGTGGCGAAGTCCTGCAGCAGCTGCTTGGTCCAGAGGACGCGAGTTGTGTCAGGGCACAACACCTTGCGACGAGCGGCTGCTTACGTTGAGCGGCAGGTTCTCACCGAAGACGAGGCAAGCTTGAGCCGGTGAGCCGGGCGACTCTCACCCTGCTGGGCAAATCATGTGCACGACCCCTTCTCCTGGGCGCTTGTGGGCGAAAGCCGGACTGCTGCCATGCATGCTGGGACATGCAGATCTTTGTGCCAGCGGCGCAGCTTGTCATGGTCTTGGTCCGCGTTCCGCCAGTTTCCAGCCCACACGAACGGGGGGTTTCACGACGAAAAATGGCTTCGCTGAACCCATCGATTGTTTTCTCATGCAAGGTTCACCTTTCCAAGACTACTTGAGTTACCCCGCCAAATGGAACGAATTCCGGTGGATCATGTGCTCCTGGAGGAGGTCCTAGCATTCCGGACAGCTGGCTTCCCCGATGCCGCGCGTGAATTTGCGACGCAGGGGTCTGGGAGCCTCTGTTTTGCTCCTTTGTTTAAGAGGTGGGGAAAGGATAAGCAGGAAAGCGGCCATAGAAAAGCCGCCACTTATTTTTTACAACTCGACACTAGCAGCGTCTTCCTCTACCATAGGAATTAATGCTCAGGGCAACGCACCAAACGAGAAAGCGTCGAATCTGGTCAGCTCGGCACACTGCTTTATACATTCAAGCGCCGAGTCGGATTCTGTGCCGAAGTGCTTCTTCGGTTTTCGGCTGGCTTGGGGGGGACATTGTTTGCCTCAGCGTTTGAAAAAGCACAAGGGTGGAGTGCAAGGAAACCACTTCTGCTCATTTATGCTTTGTGTTTGGGACAAGTCCTATCTCTTCCACGAACAGAAAGCCTACCAGAAGGTCCCTGTGGAAAAGCATGTCTTCCAGGGTTCTCCAATCAGCTTTTATGTTGGTAGCCAAACCCAACCTCACGCGCATGTCACCAGGAAAGGACTTTGGCAGGCCATAACAAGCATCAGCACTCCGGTGAAACGAGCGATTCCAAGGGAGGGTAGTTCGCGCCCATTGCATTGATTATTTTGGGTAGTTATTGGCGTGTTCTATCAATTGGTTGCAGGGAATCATCAACCCCAGATTGTGAATAGGGGGGGTGTCCATTTCTGGGTTTAGTGGGGAATCATCACTTTTATACCCCCCTAGTAATAAACTGTGGTTGATTAATACTGTACAAAATCCTGCACCACTTTGAAACCATGGGATTTACAGGGGGGTCATCATTCCAGGGTTTCTGAACGGTGGCGCCTAAGAGGATTTCGTCCAGCCTTCGACCTTCCGGCGCCGGCCAGGAAGAGCCGATCGAGGAGGATGCCGTGGTGGAGCCCGAAGACTCGCCAGGTGCATAAGCATGTTCTCGAAGAAAATCCGGGGTGTTTTCGGCCCATGGGTTTAAAAAAGCGTGGGTTTTTTGGTCGTTTTGTTTCATAGGAAGCTTGAAGCACATCAATTGCGGGGCCCTATTCTTGAGAACCCTTTGGGTTGCCTGAGAAAAGAGGCGATGGAGGTTCCCAGCCGCAATTCTTGGTCAGGAAACTTTGGGTGACTACCCCAATTCAGTGTCTGTTTTCCGGAAAGGCTGGATTTACTGGAGTTCTCGCTTCACACAACAGCACAACATCAGGATGTAATGTTGGATTGGGCCCCTTCATTCTTTCCGAATGCAATGCTCTCTGCGATCGGTTCTCTGCGATCGGCTTTTAAGCCTTTCATATTTGGCTCTCGAAATCCATTTTCCCTCCGCCCCCCCGAACCTGCAACAAGCTTTTTCCATGTTTGGGCCGGCCTTCGTTGTTTCTTCTCCCATTGTTCCGCAAAACTTCTGGCGAGCTCACCTGCAGGTAAAACGAGCTTATGGTAAAGATCCGTTGCTTGGGGGTCCCATCTTTATTTCAGGTTTCAGGTTTTGGACATCTTGTAAAACAAGCCCAGGTTTTAGGTCCTTTTTGCCATACTTGTTGCCCTATGTTTGCCCTCTTTTTTGCCCTGTTTGTGGGCCCGTGGTGTTTTTCCCGTGGCCGCCATGTCGACTCCAACCCAACGGCAGGCGGCATCTCCACGCTGGCGGCCGCCGCGAAAGCCGCCGCGAGACTCGCCGCGGAAGGCGCCGGCGGCGAGACGCAGACCGAAAGTCGGAGCTGAAGGCGTTGAGCGCGAGGTGAAGCGCGCTCAAGTTGAGCGCGTGGAGCGCGGTGAGCGCGTTTTTTTTCTTCTTCCTTTTTTTCTTTCCGGTTTGGGGTGGGTCGGGTTTCTGTTTTCCGGCTTAGGGTGAGACATTGGATGGGGCCTTCCAGTTGGGCTTGGCTCGGTTTGGGGTGAGTCATGACCACAAGGTGATCTTTCCTGCTGGCCGATTCGGGAAGTGCCGGCACATACCCAGATCTTGCTCTATGATGGCTTTTCGGAAGGGAGTTGGATGCCTCCATCCCGCTATGAGACGTGGCAGAGGGTTCAACCAAGAGGAAATCGGTCTTCCAGCCACCTTTGTGCACGCTGTTCCCAAATTTTGAGACAACACAGTTCCCTAACTAGGTGGTACACGGCTCATAGACGGCCGTTCAAAATCTAATGATTTTGCCATCAACAAGAAGCATCAATGTCAACGTGCAAACCGCAGTTACAGGGTGATTGCAATGAAGCACAACGAATTGGCCCGGTTTGAAGACAATGGGGCACATGGAAAGAGCCCGGAAAACTACTTCGTTTTGGACCTGAGAATCGCAACGCAGCGGATGCCAAGTGTTTTCGCGATGTAGAACTGTTGTAGAACTGGTGTAGAACGTGGATGCTGATCATCGGGTCTTCTCATTTTGGGGGGGTGAGTCCCAAAAAGGGGGCACTTAATCCCTAAGGAGGAAATGCCCACGATGGTAACGGTGCTCTATTGCCCCGGATTTGTTGGCATGCGTGGATACGGTGCTGAGCGAATGCACTTGAGCGGGTGTGCTTACCAGCTGGCATGCGTGCATACAGTGCTGGGCGGGTGCGCGTGAACGGGTGTGCTTATTAGGTGGCAGGCATGGATACGGTGCTGACTTGAGCGGGTGTGCTTACCAGTTGGCATGCGTGGATACAGTGCTGGGCGGGTGCGCGTGAGCGGGTGTGCTTATTAGGTGGCAGGCATGGATACGGTGCTGACTTGAGCGGGTGTGCTTACCAGTTGGCATGCGTGGATACAGTGCTGGGCGGGTGCGGTGCTGAGCGAATGCACTTGAGCGGGTGTGCTTATTAGGTGGCAGGCATGGATACAGTGCTGGGCGAATGCACTTGAGCGGGTGTGCTTACCATCCCCCCCCACACCCCCCCCACGCCCCCGGCTTGCCATTCCGCATGCGTGGATGCAGTGCTGAGCGGGTGCACTTGAGCGGGGGTTCTTACCATTTGGCTGGCATGGATACAGTCCTGAGGCGCCCTTTTTGGGGGGATCCAACTTCACATGTAAGCCGGCTCAAACAAACACCAGGTCCTGCAGGTGAGTCTGGAGCAACCTTGGGCGCAGCTGCTGTTTCCATGATGCTGGATCTCAAAGCCAGAACGCGGGGAATGGACCAGTCAAAGGTATTGAAGAACCGCTGGAATTTCGGAGGCAAGCTGACGTCCTCAGCAAGGTGCAAACCATAGTACATCGGTAGCAGACGTACTTCGTCCGGGGTGAGGTCTGGGACAGGCATTTCCACCGTCACCCCTGCGGCTGGCCGCAGCAGCTGCGAGCGAAATCGCGTGCCCGGCATTGCAGCTGCGAGCGAAATCGAGCCTGCGCCCCTGGCCGGACACCTGAGCCAACAATGCACCTGGCAGGAGGAATCAGCCGGAAATTGCCAAAAACAAGCATCCGTGCACGGCCGTCTGTGAGCCGTGGTCCAACTAGGTCCCCCAGTAGTGCCCTTGTATTCTTTTTTTTGGGAGGGTTCCCCTACTAAAATAGACTACAGAAAAAAAAACAGCTTTTTTCTATTGGAGGAGCTAGAACTTCTTTTGGGGTTCCCTTATATTAGGGCTCTTTGATCTTGGGATGGTGGACATGTTTTCCTACTCATTTCGCATGTTTGCGGTTGCTTCGGCTGCCTCCTGTCGAGGCGGCGGGGTTCTTCGATCTTGGGATGTGAGTGGACGTGTTCTCCTTGGACTCATTCGCACGGTTGCGCTGCCTCGGCCACCTCGACAGGCGGCTCCTTGGATTCTCCGGGCGAGGGAGTCGAGGCAGGGCGAAGCTGGCCCGCGGCGTGAGGGGTCGGCTTCCGATCTGGGTGCAAGTTGTGAACCAAGTTGTGTTTTCCTCATTGTATAAAATATAGTGATATATATATAGTGTATATATATATATACATACATGTGTATATATATATATATATATACATGGTACCCCCCCCCCCAGTACCCAGGTGTTGTTGCATCATGTATCAAAACGATTGATATTTACAGTGTATTTTGATTGAACTCATGCATTTTCTGCAAGGCCATTTTGTGGACCAAAAAACCAACACACCAAACAACAAAAAAAAACAAAAAAAACAATCCTAGCCCCCACCATGGCTGGGATTCTTTGGTTTCTTGTTTTTTTTGTGTTTTTTTGTTTTTTTGTCCAGGGAAATGTTGCGCAACAAATTCCAATTGTTGCGCAACATTTGCGTTTCACGTCTATATCCTAACCATAAGAAAGATAAAGGAAAGGCGTAGGAAAGACATACAACCGCTTCATTCCTCATCTCTTCGTCATAGCGGTTAACCTTTCCCATTCATCTCTTTCTCTTGATTACTTCCGTCTCCTATCTACATCTCATCCCTCACCGTCTATAACCAAGAATTCTTGACCATTGACTGCCAGCCCTCTCTTTATTCCTTTCCCTTCATCATCCCCAGCCAAGAAGCGGCTGTTAGGGATGGAAGGGTCTGAAAGGGACGTACGAAGGCTGTGTCCAAGCCCAAACCTGGGTACCTGGGGGGGGGGGGGGGGTAGCATATATATGTATGTACATATATATATATATATATGCATATATATGTATATATATATATACATATATACGGTCAGGCACCCCCCATGAACTACCTTTCCTTCTTTCTTCATAAAATGACTGCAAAAACACTGTGTGTATATACACATACAATACAGACATACAGACATACGGACCGGCAGGCAGGCAGGCAGACAGACAGAAAAGACCGACAGGACAGGACAGAACAGAACAGGACAGAACAGGACAGGACAGGACAGGGGAGAACAGAGCAGACAGAGATAGACAGAGACAGACAGAGACAGACAGAGAAAGGCAGAGACAGGCAGAGACAGACAGAGACAGACAGAGACAGACAGAGACAGACAGAGACAGACAGAGACAGACAGAGACAGACAGAGACAAACAGTGTCTTCTTCTTCTTCTTCTTCTTTGGGTTTGCTGAAGCGGCAAGAGTTGGGAGGAGGCAAGCACGGAGCTGATGAGAGGTCATCGGATGCAATACACATAGCCAATATGATAGCGTACGGGTCGCTCCTGAAAAAAAATAAATCAGGTGGGCCTGGGCCTCGTGGTTGCTGAAAAACGATCTCCGACAGGATGTTCCCCCCAATTTTTGGGACACCTATAGAATGTTCCCAAATTTTGGAACCTATAGGATATCTCCCAAATTTTGGGACACCTATGGGAAAGCACCAGAGAACCATGGGCATTCGCCATCGCCCAAAGATGCGTCTCAAAACTAGGGCACCACCCAAAATGGCAAGGGCAAGGGTTTCCTCTTGGTTTTTGTTGGGAGCGCCAAGCAAAAGGGGCTCAAGCTTTTCCATGCGGATTTCTTTTCAAGTCGCCTTCAAAAAGGGAGGGCTGCCAACTCCGAGACCCGCCCGCCTGTGGAGGTTGAGGAGGCACCCGAGCAGTTCAAGTTCATGCCAGGGGCCGAGGTTTGGTCGCGTGATGTTCCGAGGAGATCAGGCGGTTTGGTTTGAGGCGAGTGAGGCACGTTGGGTTTTCTTTTGTCCCTGGCCGATGCTTTTGTTTGCGACTTGTGAGGAGTTTCTTTTCGTTTTCTTGGGTATGTGCTCGAGGCGCCCCCGAGATGCGGCGGAGCTGGCGATGCGGGGCTGCAAGGAGGCGGGTTTTTGGGGTATGGATCGCGGCCTTTTTGAGCATTTTGTTGTGGACACGGATCTTAGAGACGATGTCAGTCCTACACCCTCCCATTGCTTCAAAGATGGGACACCAAAGGAAAACCACGCATTTGGGGATTGACCCTCTATTTTTGAGAAACACCTGATGTGGTTTCCTACTGTGTATAAACAGCCTCCCGGAGTGATTGGCGCAGCCATTTTCCCTGGGGGCAGAGTAGTTCGAATAAAAGCATCCCATTACTAGATATTATTTACCCAGGCCCCAAATCTCCCCATCGTTTGAAGTTGGTCAAGACTAACCACGTTCTCAACCAGCATTTTTTGCCGACCTAAACTTCAGTTGTATTAGGGAGACACTTTAGAACCACTACTGCCGCCCCCCTCTCCCCAGTTACCCTACTAGTGTTAACAATAAGTAGTGTTCCTTCGCAGGCGAACATCTTTTTCCTCGAAATGGGGTATTTATTCTTAGGGGAAGGGGATTACCTCTATCCAGCCCTGGCCATTTCAACTCACTTGGTATCTGGGATTGCTTCTAACCATCCGGTCTCCGATTTCCCACAAGGGGGGAGGTTTGCAATTACATTTGCATTGGCTACTTTGGGGCAAAAAATCGCTGAACCCGCAAAACGTTGGCTTCAGGCCCAGTCTTCCCTGGACTCGAGTGAGTACCTCAGGAAGCCTTGAGACACTTCGCAGCCCCGAAAGGGCGCTCATGGCCAGAGCTGCTGCACTTTGTGAATGTTTTTCTTTGAAGGAAACGAAAGCTTGGTGGCTCCCAGCCATCCGGTTCCTTAGCCTTTTAGCCTGTTAATGTTTAGTGGTAGTTTCCATTTAACCCACTCAAAGTTAAACTTTCAGCGGGGGATCTGAGGGCCCAGAAAGGTCAACCAATCCATTGCCGTTTCTAGAATGGTAGGAGACAGTGAACGGCACAAAAGTGTGCCCCTCCCCTTCCGGAGGTCGTAAAAGTGCAACTATCCAGCTCAAAGCTTGTTTTCTTCGGGTTTCTGCAGGGCACACTCTTATTCACGCGTGGGTGAATATGAATATGGAAATAACTTGAGCACGAAAGGCTGGAATGGTTGGCTCAGGGAACCTGATTTCCCACTTGGGAAACACGCCCAGGGACATTCCTTGGTTGGATCCCGGGGTTCTCCAAAAGCACCGCCACATGCCAGAAACACACAGCACCCACAAAGCTCTTGGCCGGTGAGCTCCTGGATTCCATTGGTTCTGTTCTTTTGTTTTATGGCATCCATCACTCAAGGGCACCTGGGCCTACCTGCCTGCCCTTGAACCGGATCATGTACGTGTGGCGCAAGTCATAACATCTGGGTCATGATGAAAGTCTCTGACTGCACTCATGGACAACAACATCCTTGCACCAGCTGGGATCGAGGAGAGATTGCGAATACCGGTTGATAAGCCACCTGGCGCACGAAGTCTGGACTTTGTCCATGGGTTGTTTGGGATTCGATCTTACCTAAGCGTCTCTTGCTGAGTGGGACACCTCGCAAAGAAGCAATCCCAAAGCAAGACACACACACCGGGATGGGGGATGAGAGCTTATGAACACTGGTTGATTAAAGAACCCTGTGCTTGGTTTGGACTTTATCCATGGTTTGGGATTCCAATTTCAAGAGTCTCTTGCAAGCCAAAAGCAAAACACACACAAACAAACAAACCAATCCACACACACCAAGGACACCAAAAAACATGTGTTCCCTTTGTTTTCCACACACACACACCACCAAGAAACCAAAAACCACAAGCACTAAAAACCAGAAACACCAAAATCCACAAACACCAATCCACTCGATGTTTTCTCCCTTTCTCTCGCAGGCGGCGCTGGGGCGGGCGCGGCCAAACAAGGTGGAGCTGGGAGAGGCGTGGGCCGCTCCTTTTTTTTTTCATGTGTGTTCATGCTTTTCATTTATATATTTATTTGTCCCCATCCAGAAAGGCCAGCAGGGGCAGGGGACAGAATGAGCAACTGGACTGAGGCTGGTTCCTCCTTTTGGTGCGCGGCTGAGAACCCGCACCAAGCTTCTTGGTTGGAAGAGGGTCACAAGGAGCATCTCTCCTAAAATTGCCATCCACCCGTCTGTTTGTCTTGCTGGTGCTCAGTAGAGAATGAGGGAATGACCCCTTCAAAGCATCCAACCTGTATGTTTCCTTTAACGGGAATGACTGGGCTCATTCCATTTCTCATTCCCTACCTCTCGCACCAAAGTCCAGTGAGACATTAGGACCCGGCCAATGCTTTCAGAACCCTTCGGTCAGAGCCCTTTGTAACAGAAAACCGTTTAGGTGCTTTCCGAACGTTTGGGGCTGGGGCGGCGGCCTTGGGTTTTCCAACCAACAGCTCAGCTGGGGGCTGTTTTCTACTGGATTCCGCCAGAAAAGGTGCTGCATTGTTTGTATGAGCTTTCGGCTTATAATCATATCCTAGTGTTGTGTTTCTCCACATGAGGTCTCTTCTCCCCAACATGCGGGTTAGATGACTCCAGTAGGTTTCCTTGGGAAGAGCATGGGACAATGTGGGAAACACCAATGAAAATGCAGGGAACGCGCATCATCGTTTTGAAGCGGCCCTATTTGACTAACAAGTTGATATGTTTTATATGCTTACGGGCAAAATCCACTGAGGTCTGTGGATCCGTCAGTCTCCCGCATCTTTTATCAGGCAACCCTTAGTCTGGAAACCCCGAAAATTGGTGCTTTGAAATCGTCCCGGGACAGTGAGGCTGCTTGCAGCAAACGCCAGCCTCGAAGCACATCCAGAATCAACTTCTGGATCTTGTAGATGTGAACGTCTGAACTTCTGGATCCTGCAGAGGGTAAAGGGGGGTCTCCTTGGGACAAACAAGCGCAGTTCCCAGCTTTTACAATTAGTGGGGGAACCCACCGACCAAACCACCAAACCACCACACTTGCAAAGTCACCCAACGAACGTCTGAACTCCTGGATCTTGCAGAGGGTACAGGGGATTGAACCCGATCTTGTAGAGGGTTTTCGTTGGGAACCCACCCAACCCGCACACCTCCCAAAGCCGCCGCTCCAAACCGCCCACAGGGCCAAAGCTGGCGCCTTCAGCTGGGGCGCCTGCACTCCATCTCTGAGGTGGGGCCGGAGGCGGGGCGGCGGGGGGGGGGGTTCAAACATGGCCGGGGACCGGAAACTCGTGGCTTTCCTTTTAGGTTTCTTGAACAAAAAGAAGACCCTCGGCCAGGTCAAAAGAAGACTTTCTTTTGACCAGGTCAAACAAGAAATGATTTTTTCCAACCCGCGGAAAGCCCAACAACTGCGACTCCCTGGGCCCCCGGTTTGTGCTTGGGACGCGTATTTTTTTGCCGGGCAAAAGGCGCGCCCAAACAGGGCCAATTTTGCTGATTTTGACGACCCCCCAACCCTGGTACTCGGAGCCATGCTTGGAGTCAGGGTGAGAGGCTTGGGGTTTGCTTTGCTAGAGCTTTTGTGGTGATTTGGTGCTTGAGAACGACTTAAAGATGCTCGAGGGATTTTGGATAGGTTGCCATAGAGGGCTGGCGAATAGGTCGCTTGCATCCCAAAGGCCTAAAGCGGTTCTTGGGTCCTCGACTTCGCACGCAGAAAATGGGTGTTGGACGGCTCCAAGATACCGACGGTCCAAAATCCCAGTCATGCAGATATACACCATGGTCACCGTACACGTGGCAGTGACGACCTTCGGCCCCTTTACCATACCATCAGCCAAGATTCGGAGTTACACAGGGGGCAAAGCGGCGTTTTTGTTTTGTTTTGCCTGGATCGATTGACAGCATCCCCAAACCCTGCAAGTTAAGGCTGTTTGAGTGGGTGGGTCTACTTTTGGTTCCATGCGGGCTAGGATAAGGCTGTTACACGCCCACACAACTAGGTGGGTGCCTGTTTTTGCAGAGTCTATGGATTTCCGTTGGTTTCGGTGAACATCGAACCGCCCACATGGCGTCAGCGCCGTGTGGGAGGGTTCGATGTTCACTGAAACCAACGGACATCCTTCTGGGCCCATTTTCCCAGAAGGACCCCCCTCAAAGATCCCAGAGAGGACACCAAAAGGGCGAAGCCGCCTCCCTGCCTGAGGCGGCAGAGGAGAAGACCCCAGGCGCGGGCTGGCCACTGGGTCCCGTCGCCTGGGGTTCGGTCGGATCGCCTGACCCGACAAATCCCAGACGCCGGGGTTTCCTTTGAGAGTCTTGGGAACGACGGAACGCGGGGCTCTGCAAGAGTTTCAAATCCTTTTGTCGTGTCCCGCTGTGGATTGCCAAATTGGGACTAGTGAACCTCCAAGCGGAAGGTAGACCTTTGAGACACCACCAAGTAGTCGTGGCTGACTGAGCAGCATCCTGGGCCATGGTGAAAAAGCCTTGCTCTTTTACTTGCGCCTCGGGATGGTCGATGCGATAGGGGTTTTAGACGAATCCTCCCGCGAGGTTGGCGAGGTTGGCCCCGAAGTCCGGGTCTCACCTGGCAACGGGGTATTCGAAGTTAGTACCCTTGCGGGGTTTCAAAAGAAGATCAAAAGTAAGCCATCTTGTTTTGGGGGTTCCCTGTTTCAAAGACAACCCGACTCTTGGTAGCTTTATGCATTTCCATCCTTTGAGAGCGTTGATTGCCCAATTGCCCTGCTGCTTTTTGGCATTCGGGCGCTCTGTCCAGAGAATTGCCCGTTGGCTCTCAAAGTTACACCGGTGAGGAGACTTTTTTAAAGGTACTCTACATGGCACCTCCAAAGCAAAAGCATCTCATATGACCCTCGCCATGTTGGAGACTGGGGAGAATCACAAAGTTGCCTGTCTAAGGGTAGCTGAGCACTCTGACTACCTTGGAGCATCCATTTTACCAAAGCGCCGCGCTATGCAGCCTGCGAGGAATGAGATTGCACGCCTGCGTTGCGAAGACGTTTTTGTGCACAACGTATCACGAGCTCATTGAGGGAGGTCAGGTAGCCCTTTGTTGGTGGTTCGGATTGGTGGTTTGGGGACTAGCTCACACGTAGGGATTCCTCCTTTTGTGTTTGTGAACTATAGTAATCTGACATGCACGTAGCTGAGACCATGCCATCAGCGACGAGTGTTTGCTCTTGTGGAATGTCATCGCGGCCTAGACAAGGGCCGGCAGAAGTAACCAAGAGAGGGGTTTGGATCATTTGAGTGGCAGAAAGTTTGGACTTTTTGGGGGTCATCCGTAGTGAGGAAAGGAATGTCCAAAAGATAATCCAAAAGCGTAGAATGTTGTTTTGTTTCTATCTATTGCCCTTTACGAGGGGCCAAAATTTCAATCCTTGTGCCTATCGGGCCTTTGCGGTAGCAACAAAAAGGCTCAACTGGGTCCATGAAATGGACATCCTGAAAGTTACCCTCCACATGGTGGCTTAAAGGGAAACCGCCCTCAAAGACATTTCGACTGTTCAACTCACCCAGTTGCGGTGCAGGTGGCTTTTCGTCACCCTTGCGGGGTGAGGAAGAGCCGGATCCTCAGCATCTAGGTTTTGGACGCGGGGTTGTGGAAGGTTTCCCCTTTCAAGCATTCTCCCTTTGGACCCTTTCATGTTGGCCAACCAGTTCTCCTCCTTTTTCATACCTTTGTTTTACCTCGCGGTTGCTAGGAACAACACCACGTAGCCTTTCTCCAGTTGGCATTTCTCTGGTCTTCAGGTCCGAAGTTTGTCTTCAGGGGGGGTGCGCAAACCCATTTTTAAGCAGCCCCGCTTAGGGGGCTGCAGAGACTTGCCCTGTGATCCTCGCAATCAATTTGTTTCGAGGAAACTGCTGGATGCACAAAACAGGACACCATGGGTTCTCGAAATGGGACCCCTGAAAATGGCTGGTTCTCTTCAAAAACGGGTTCTGAACGTGGCGTTCCATCTGAACATGGGGGAACCCCCCAGAAAATCGCATGAGTTTCCCTTGTCCCCTTGAAAAAGTCGGGTGTCCCTTTGGTGTGCCCTTTGACGTTGGAGGGCACGAGGAGCCGTCGGGGAACTCTAGGGGTAGCTTCCATTTCCATTCTCTCCAGGGATCCGAATCTTTCTAGAAAACCTCCAGAAACCCATGTTGAACACGGATCCGTTTTTTGGAAAGAACGCTGGTTGAAAAGAATGGACAAGGCATCAACCCCTAGTTTTTTTTGTTGGCGGAACACCCATGTGCCACCTATTTTGATGTTCACCAGGGGTTTCCTGGGTTGAACAGGGAATCAAACCCTAGAGGAAAAAATCCCTGCTGCTTTCGGAAATCGCTCAGGTCCAACGCCTGGAGGAAGCTCCTGTTGGGGCGCCGAGGAAGAACTTGGCCAGGAGAGGAAAATGTGGCAAAGGGTGGTGGAGATCATGGTTTTTGTTTGATTGTTTTGTTGTTTGGTTTGTTTGGCTGGTTTGTTGGTTGGTTGTGTTTGTTTGTCTGTCTGTCTGTCTGTCTGTCTGTCTGTCTGTCTGTCTGTCTGTTTGTTTGTTTGTTTGTTTTGCGATCGCTCTACTTATTTTGAGCCATTGAAAGCGGGCGCAAGACGCTTGAACGACGTCTGCAATGTCACCACGCAAATGGCCATGCTGTCTGCTGAAGTATCCCCCAGAACCCATCCAGCTGAACGTGGCCATTGGCCCTCGGACATTCCGATATGCCCCTGGCATGCCCCATCCGTGGCTCTGTACGGCTTTCTCTTGGACAAGTCTGGTCCACACCAACGGCCCATTTAATCTTCTCGAGACAGGGGTCACCATGATGTGTGTGTGTGTGGGTGTCAACATGCGCTGGTTGGTGTTCTAGATTTCCTTTGGGCATGAGCCTCCAACCGGCTTTGAACCACACAGTGTGTCCCATAGCTGTCACCACGACCTTGTGAGTCACCCGTTCTTTGCTCCATTTGAAGCTCGCGCCATGTGAGTGGTTTCAGCAAACACCTCAGAACACGCAAAGCGTCAGATTCAAACAGAAGCGAGGGCTAGGGAACACCGAGGGCCAGTTCCATGTCTTTAGGGTCAGTCTTCATAGTCATCATGGATGCTGAATGGCGCTGATGAAATTACCCAATTCAACACGCTTTCAGCTTTTTCAGGTCCATGTCATCCTAGACCCGGTTCATAGTCGCTCCCTCTCCACCTCTCCAGAGACCCAAGGAATCTGTTCAAGGGGCTAGGGCTTTCTCCCCTGGGCTTCGTGTCGCTGAAGCAAGCATCCGTGAAGTGAAAGCTAGAGCCCAGGGGCTTCCTATAGTACCCGGCTGTGGACTTAGCACTCAGATCGACATACCCCAAAAATGGCCGCCGTCCTTTGTCCTGGAGAGATGCTTGCCTCGAGACAGCTCAGTTTTCTCACCTTCTGGCTACCCTCCCACCAAACCTGGTGCCCCTTTCCCAAAGCGAGGCGGGTTTTTGCAGGGAGGTTCAGCAAACGAAGCCATGTTGGCTAGAAGTTGGGAGGATCCGTAGTTTGGCCTCAGACCGATTGGATTTTAGGGGCGCTGCTTTCCAAGGGCCAAGGGCATTCGCTGACAGCAACAAAGTAGTGGGAATCCACCACTTTGGTATCGCAGAGTTGTCAACCGCGTAGTTTTGATTTGCGTTTTCTGACTCCCGGCTTGCCTCTAAAGCAGGGCGCGGTCTTCCTTTGGTTCCATGTAAACTGCTCCAAAAAGCTCAGCCGAACCGCAACCGGCTTGGAACTCTGGATCTTAGAACTCGTCGCCCTTTCCGGGTTTTTTCCTGAATCCCTGGAGCTTTGTCCTCAAACCCAAACCGCAAGAAGCGCACCCTGAACAGCAATCTGCTGGGCTTCCATGTTAGCCAACAAATGGGCCCCGATCCCAAGCGTTTCTTGCGTGCGATGGGTCCAGTGGGGATTGATGTGCACTAACTACTTTGGACATGGTTCCCTAAAAAGAAAAACAACAGAAAACAAATTCCCCCCCCCCCCACCCCCCAAAAAAAACCGAACAACATTCCCGAACTAAATCCAACCCTGAACCTTATTGGCCAGATCCCCAAAGTTTGGAGCCTAGCCCCGCGTTCCCCACCTCTCGAGCCCGAGGAAGCGCTCGGGCGCCGGCGTGCCGGAGGGCTACTTGGAGTTTTGGAAGGGCGCCGGGGCGCCCGAGGGAATTTTCGAAGCCGCGAGGGGCCGACCCATCCCGAAGCTCTTTTTTTGGTGCATATGTATGTATATATATGATATGATATTATATTATATTGTATTGTATTGTGTTATATGATATTATATTATATTGTGTTATGTCGTGTGATGTTATGCTATGCTATGATATTATTTTACGTTATGGTATCTTCTGTTTTCCAGGTATATTATCTGTGTTATATTGTATCAGATCTGTGACGTTGTATTACATTTCGTTGTATGACTAATTACATGGTAGTATGTAACAAAACATATTCTAAGCTAATCAAAGCTAATAAAAGCTTAGTAGTATACAACATAACAACAACATACTAAGCTATTTCCAATCATATTCTACTAGAACAACCACCTAGCTTGCTGTCTCGGTGATGTGGTGGTGTGGATGTGGTGTGGATGGCTTGCGTGGCCTCGTGCTCGGGTGATTGTGCCCTGACTGTGGCCGGTGGATTCGGGCTTGGGACCCAAAGTTGTTTCCTTTTGGCGTCCCCTTAAAACCAAGCGACTTTTGGTTATCCCGGAAAGACATACCCAAATGGATCCCTCTGTTCCTTTTGATGCGCTGATGGATGCCCTGGAGGGCAGGTTTGGACATGGCCTGCAGGCATAGAGGGAAGGGGAGAGATGCGCGTGGCTCTATTGAGGCGCTTGAATGCGAGAGTGGCATCATGTTAGACTGGGGGCCACGCTCGAACTCGTAGTTTTAGGGGCCTTTTGGGGCCCTTTGGCCAGGCGGATACAGCAGAGTTTGTCCCGTCCAAGTTGTTCTCCACGGTTTCCTTTTGGCCAGCGCAATTTAGTTCCTCATGGCCATGCCGAATCATGACATGTCGCGAGGAGAGGTTGCACCTCTCTCCCTCATTGCGCGCAGAGCCTTTGTCTTAAACTCTTTGTTTTTCTTTTTGTTGGGGATCATGGGTCTCTTTAGGGAATGGCTCAGCGTAATCGGCGACTCTTTGCGCCGAATGGGCCTCCGGCCAGGGGCCCCTGACTCTTTGGAAGCGAGTTGAATCAAAGGATTGAGCAATGCGCGTGGCGCATCTTCTCTTTTTTTGGGTTGGACTCCCCCAAAATGAAGGTTTTCCTTTGAGTCCCTCAAAGCCACGAAGAAAGGGGTCCCTTAAAAACAAGAACTGAGCCATGTAGCCGGGGCTTGGTTTAGTTGCTTTTAACGTCCTGGACCCATGTGGTCCTGTAAAGCTCGCTGGAGGGTCCCTTCGGGATTGTGTTCGTGCATGGTCGCGGCAAGTCGGGTGTTAGGTCCACAGTGATACTGTGGATGGAAAAGCGAAATCCCATTCGGACCACGACATGGCACCATGGGAATGAAACCACGGTTCGTTGGAATTTATAGGATCGAATGATTTCCAGGGTTTCTCTTAGGTGCGAAATGGATTTCGCTTTTCCATCCAGTGCTACCCTGTGCGAAGTAAAGCAATGGCGATGGGAAGGGTTGGTTTTCCAACTGCTAGAAAGGTCCCAACTGGGGCGGTCTACCATGTGGCAATGAGGTGCAGGGAAACAACCTTGAAGAGGATGAGCGAGTGCGCTTGGCTGCAATAGCTCACAGGTGTCGTGGGCTTCGTTTGTCACTACCGGACAAGGGCCGATGTATTTGTTCTTTGGCTTTAAGGGTAAGCAAGAGAACAAGCATGAGGTTTTCGGGGACTCCAAAGCCAAATGCAGGTCCATGCTTTAAAGTGATTGGGGAACACGGGTGATTGTGGCCGACTACACGCTTTATGGGGGGCATCACAATAGACTCATGCGCACAATTGTCTGGCCCCGTTTGGATCGAGCCCGGGACAAAGCACTATGAATATGTCATGTGTGAATGTCAAAATATGGATCTGGAGCCCATGTTGATGGAGTGGTTTCCCTTTAAGCCAATCCCAAAAGGGGTATTCCCAGAAGAGACCTGTGAATCAGGGCTCTTAGGAGGGATTATCTGCGCAACTTATGAGCTCACCGATCCGGGGGGAAAACACAGCGATTTGGCCCTGTGTCCCTTACTGATCGTTTCTTTATTCTCAGCCTGTGAATTTTAGCAATAAGCCCTGAAGCTCGCATTCTAAAGCCAATGCCACGATGTCACGCATGTCATTGAGCTGCTCGGGTGAACGAATTCTTGGCATTTCTGCGCAGGCGACGTTCCGACCGCCTTCTTCCAAGAAATCTGCTTTCAGACCCAGGCCCAGACCCCATTGCCTGGGTCATGGAACCTGTGGTCGCACAGCGGCCTGTCGTTGGCAGTGGCGGTCGCGGAGAAGGACGGTGATTCGAACGCCTGGTTCATGGTGGCGGGCTTGCCAGAAGCATCGAGCGCGTCAAGTGGCTCGCGAGGGGCGGAGCCACGTTGAACCTGGCTGCCAGAGCTGCCCTTGGTGGAAAACTGTTTGCCCTCGAGTTGGCCACACATTTGCGCGGGCTGAGGGTTTACTGGGCTAATTTGAGCGGAGTTGGCAGTTGGGTAGAGGGCTTAGGGTTGGGCTCTTTTGAGGGTTCAGAAAGGCCCCGTCCACTGAAGCGAAGGGCCGGCTTGAAATCGGTGCCGCTTTGTATTGCTCTGGAAAGCTCCTCGCCTCAAGACGGTTGCTTCCTCTTGGCCCCTTTATTGATAGCGCGTGGGCCAGGAAGGGTGTCCCCATGCTTTTGCAACGAACACCAAGCACCCGTGGACATCGTGGGGAAGGGTGGTGCTGCGAACTTAATGCTAACCAGTGGGTCGCTTTATTCATGCAGTCTTGCTTGTTGATTGCGCGGGTCTGTGTGGCATATGTGTGGAGTGTCTTGTTTTTGCAGGCCCTGTTCATTTGCTTTTTTGGGCCGTGCAAGAACGGCTGTTTTGGGCTTACATACCCCAGAATTTGGAATTGGGAAGACACGTTGCTCGGTTTGGATGTTTCCTTCCTGGCTACAGGGAACCATATCCTGTTTCTCCCCCTCCTAGTTTTGCCAACATCAGTCAACATTCGCCTGTCTTGTGTGCGTTTTGCTACCAAGAGTGGCTCATCAAGTTTCCCGCCTCGTCTGAAACATGAGCATTTCACGGCAGATCCAGCGTGTTTACGGGTTTCTCTACCCCTTTTGCCAAGGATCCCAAACGGATTCGGACCTTGGATTTGGGCCCGGGAAATATTGCGGATGGGCAGAACCCTGCACCAGTTGGTAGGTGGCTTATCTCAGTATTCATTCGGTTTCATTCCAAGGGTTTTCCCATTGCCCCCTGAGATTACGCCCAGCCTCTTTCCAGATGAAACCTGGTCATGTTGGTTTATTCGGGCTTTTTGTATTTTTATCCAGGGTGTTATCCCAGGGTGGAATAGGAAACTCCCTAGATGGGTGTGGGTTAAAAATCCCTAGATGGGTGTGGGTCAAAATAGGAACGCGGAATTGAATCCTGGCAAAAGAAAACAAGGACTAGAACCTGCGGTCCCCTAGTGGCTTAATTTTGACCCATAGCCAGATTCATCCAGTGTAGAGTTTTGTTCATCCACCTCCCATAGATCAAAGGGTTGATTCCCCATTCTTTTCAGCCATCGCTCTTTTCAAAAACCGATCGCCATTTCCCCAGGGTTTTTGGTGGTTCTCTAGAAAGATTCGGATCCCTGGAAAGAATGGGGCAGAGGGATTCTCGCTTCCTCCAAACCGAGCAAAGTCCTTCATCGGCCTACAGCTTGGACTCGCCGACCCAACCATTTGGGTGGCCCTGAAAGCACACGCACATGTGCCCCTCACAGCCTCCAATCTTTGTTTGATCCCGTGGCATGTGCTTGTGTTATTGCCGGAACAGTTTTTTTTTGGGGGCAGTTTTAAGGGTCGCTCATAAAGCTGCTACCAAACTCAAACACGCCAACCCCCATCCACAGCGATCCCGGTCTCGGTGTATTCGAGTCTTAGGTTTGCGTTTGGCCATTCCTGAGGCTCGCGCTGGCATCTTCTTCCGATCGCCGGGGTCCCGCTGCAATGTCCGGCAGGTTGCTCCCGTGAATCTCTTCTCATGGGACACCGAACGGGGGAGGAGTTGCCTCGAGAGATGAGTGGATTTTTGGGTTCCCTGCCTTTTTTTGGCGCGTATTTCGAGGGCGAGACGGGCCTGAAAACCGGGAGTCATTAGAACGTTTTGGTGGACATTTGCATAGGTTTCATACCCACCCAGATTTTAGGATGTGGGAACCCCCCCTTCTGCCGAGTTCTTCCCTACTGAGAGCTTGCTTGAGTACTCCTAGTGGCTGTGGGCGGCTCTGGAAACCGCAAGAAGGCACAACCACTTTGGTCAGATGCTGGCCCTCAAAAAGGAAACACAAAGGTTCTTCAAAGAATGGTTTTGATACCTTTAAACAAGTTGGCCCAACCCTGGGCGCGACCATCCCCCATCTTTGGACACGCAGACCGTGCTTGTTAAACCTGCCTAGGTTCATCGGGGCCCCGGTCCGAAGCCAGGAAGCGTGAGGGATCTCCCGTGGGGGGCAGCAGACTTATGAATTTGGGACCTGGGCGACCAAAAGATATCCGTTTTTTTGAACGAGCCTCTGGTGAACAACTTGGTCCCCCAGCTGGGTGCCCTTTTACCCTTTTGTTGGGGGGAGGGTTCCCCTACTAAAATAGACTACCGAGAAAAAAGGGTACCCTTATTCTATCCTCTGTACTGGAGGACCTAGACAAGTCCAAACGCGGACGAATACGCTTGGGTTCCATGGTTCCAACAGGGCGATTCCATTCAGGAAGAGAGCCAGAATCGGACCCTTCCCACCCCCGAATTATGTTTATAATCGTTTGTTTTTGCTCTGGTCTCAAATTCATTGGCATCCACGCTGAATTGGCCTCAAGAGAGCGAGAAAGAGACCATTTCTAGTTGTAGGCTGCCACTTTCTGAAGGACTCGCCAAGGGAAAGGCCTAAGTGAGACGGGATGCCATGGTATTATAAGGGTTTTTCATGAACCCATGGCTGGCCATGCTTGCCGGGAGCCCTTGCTCGTGAGCACTGAGGTGGGAAGTCTACCAGCGGAGGGTTTGGAAATGGCCCGGGACTCCAGCAGGGGGCGAAATCACAGAAAACGACAGACCTGTTATGACATCCGCTGGTTGGAGCTGGGCTAAAACGCGAGGAAAGGCTAGCTGGTTTCCCTTGTGTCCGGATTGCTTTTTTGTTTGGGATCCATTCTGAACCCAGGGTTTGTGGTTTGCCTTCCTGGTGTCCGAATGGAACATCGGGAGTTCTGAGCCTAGGTTTTTTGGCCCGAGCGCGAGTTGTCCCAGAGGCCTTCGAATGGTGCCCCGATTTGGCTTCGGACAAGTGAGATTCGAAAGTTTTACTTCACGGAGTGCCGTGAAGTTTCCGGCCTTTTTGGACTTGGCGGATGGGCAGACGAATTAACGGGCCATTACTTGCAGGTCAAGGAAGGAAGCAATCGAATTGGCTATGAGTTTCAACAGGGAATTGATTAAGATGTGTGGACATGAATCCCAACCCAAATGATGTTTTGGCCCAAAGGGCCCACCCCCATGAAGATTTGCTCATGTGTTGCTCATGGGGTTCAAAAACGCGGGCTGCAGCCAGCGGGCCCATCTCAGATGCGCTCGGTTTGCATTGGTCGTTTTGGAGGAGAAGAATAAGCCCAAGCTCTTGTGCCTTGGGTGGGGCCATTTAGGGTGTCTCTTAAAATAAAATAGTATATATTAAAAAGAAACTATTGGTTTATGGTTGGTTTCTCTTTGAAACCGCTCCAAAAGGTGTACCCTCAAAGAAAGGCACCTCCAAAATACGCCCAGCTGGATGTCATAGCTGGTTTCATGTATGGTTCCATGTCACATGTTGGGAATCATCCAAACGGAAGACATAGTCCTTCGAGGCTTTCCCTCTCACTGAAGGAACCTGACTGGGGTCAACTTCCCAAACGGCTTGCAGAATCTGCCGTCTGGTGCTAAAACTTCTGGTCTCCTGAAAAACAGAGACAAGCCTGAACACCGCTCGTGGTGCTTCTTTGGTATCCTGAAAACACACAAAAACCCAGAGACGCGGCACGGTGAAAAAAATCTGCCGGAGCGGCTGGCTGCTTTATCTCAGGTTCGACACGCAGGTGGTGCCGCACCTGGAGGCCGAGCGGAGGGCACGCAGCGGCGTGAGTTTGTGGTTTGGGAGGTTCCGAGCAAAGGAAGCCATAGGGGATGTGTTTTTTTTTCTTCCTTTTTTGCGGGGTCAGCCCCAAAAAGAAAGGAAACCAAATCGGAGCCGGATAGTTTTTGTTTCTTCTTCTTTTTTCTGGGGGTCAGACTCCATTTCGCATTCCCGGAGCACCAGCAAGATTGGTGGGTAAGGGGAACCCATTGGTAGGTCACCAGGTACAATTGGCAGGTTATAGGTAAAACATAGATCGTACGCATGCCCATTTTTGCCTGCTATAGTGGAAGGTACCCCGGAGAGTCGTAAAGATACTGGGGAAAACTGGATCCTAAACATGGGGGCAAACATATTGGGGATTACCTGCTATAGTGGTAGCTGGAATTTATTGGGGGTGTACTTGTCCTTGTATGATGGTGGGCAGCTCGCTTTGGTGGGTAAAGGGAAACCAAGGGAAGCCACAGGGAAACCAAAAGGTTAACACAAAGGGGCACAGAGGTTTTGGCATCGCAGTTTCCTTGTGGAGGATATTATTTGCAGTTTCCACGTGTTGTTTTGGATGGCACCTTTTTGTGGGCTTGTCTTTTCCAGGGAAACCAACCGCAAATCAATCCTGTTTTGAGACGCACCCACATCGGGTTAACATGAGAGGAGCATCCACCCATCGCAACAGCCAGGTTGAGGTCGGCTGTGGAAGCTGGATGGATCTTGTTTTTGGACAACTGACCTAAGGACCTCACAAAGGGGTCTCTGTGTTTTGCGACTGACAACACAGGATCAAGGTTTCCTGTGGGTTTCCCCTTGTTGCTCCTTGGTTTCCGATTGGTACTCCATTTTGTTCCTTTGTTTCGTTTGCTATTGGTTCCCCTTTGGTTGTCTTTTGTTTCCTTCTTCTTCCTTTTGGCTCCATCTTGGTTGCCTCGTCCTTTGCAGGTTCTCTCTTAGGTTCCGTTTTGTGTTCCTTTTTTGGTTCCGCCCGTCCTTGTGGTTGCCCTTTGGTTTTCCCTTGCTTTCATGTTGGTTCTCTGTTGGTTCCCTGTTGGTTCTCTTTTGGTTCCCTTTTGGTTCCTTTTGGTTCCTTTTTGGTTCCCTTTTGGTTCTCTTTCGGTTCCCTTTTCGTTCCCTTTTGGTTCCCTTTTGGTTTGCTTTTGGTTCCCTTTTGGTTCCCTTTTGGTTCCCTTTTGGTTCCCTTTTGGTTCCCTTTTGGTTCCCTTTTGGTTCCCTTTTGGTTCCCTTTTGGTTCCCTGTTTCCTTTTTTCTTTTTGGTTCCTTTTTGGGTTCCGTTCTGGTTTCCTTTTGCTCGCTTTTGCGGTTTCGAGCACTTGACACCGTCTGACTTGCAACATCAAGAGACATCCACAGGTTCCTTTGTGTTTTTGCTTCCGTTTCCAGTTGTCTTTGTCCTACCCCAACGGGAGGGATGATGCCAAGGACTTGCAACGTGACTTGGCTGACGTCCCCGGCAACATGGCTAGGTTTCCTTGGCTTCCAAGAACCAATCCCAAAATGGCAGTTCCTCTGGAGAAGAAACACGACACTAGACTGTGGGGGTATTACTCAACATCCCTTCTTTCGCTCGCAGGTGTGGCGACAGCGCGGTGTGAGGCAGGGAGTTGATCGCCCAGTTGGATGCGGGGTGAAGTTCGGGCAACATATTAGGGGTTGTCTCCAATTGTGCTAATTGTACCTATTGGTTGGCCAAGCGAACTAATTGTTGCTCACAGTGTTTGATTCCTTTGGGAGGGACACGTTTCCCATGTCCTTTGCGGAAGCCGCATAGTTTGGACCACGCCGAGAAGTGAAAGGCGCCTTTGTCGCGCGGCATCCTGGTGGCAAGAGTGCCTGTTGGAAAGGCAAGCAAGGGCACCAGTGTAACCTGAGCCATCCTCAGGTGGCCACAGATACTAAAAAGCTGGGTCACGTTGGTGGCCTGGCTGGGCCAAAAACGGAGGGGGGGGCCGACTGAGAACGCGACAATCAAACCCGGGCTTACGCGAAGGGACAATCCCAACCAAAGATGGGGCCGCCCTGTTAACTGCTTACATGGTTTTGGGTAGACCCTTTACCAGGTTTTGATTTTGAGGCGGCTGAAGCGCCCTGAAAGGCCAGGGTGGAGTTATGGAGGGGGGATTCTTGCTTCGGGGCTACCCTTGCAGGGCTTGACCCTATCATTTTCGGGCTTTCCCCATCAAAGTGAGGGGTTGTCCGGGTTGAACAACATGCAAAGATCCACCAGCTGCTGTGTGGATACGATCCCACTCACGTGCCACACGCTGGAAGTGCTAGCCCTGCGCCAAAAAAGACAAGAAGGGAGGAATCACGACAAGACAAAGATACAACAGGTGCACGCATCAAAGTTTTTTGCAAAACTGATCGGGTCAAAAATCGAGGCCAAACTATCAAAGTGCAGACTCTGCTTGCCCATCCGTCCAGGAGCCGCGGGATTGTCGAGGAGGCCTTTGGGGATGCTTTCCTGCGGGCGTGGGGCCACAGATTTGAGCCGCGTGCGGATTCAATGGGTCAGTGGTACTTGTGCTATCCAGCCCGGGGACACAAAGAGGCTTGTCTACAAATGTGCTGTTGCAACTCACCCGGGGGGGGAAAAAAAAAAGCAAGCAGGGCTTCGGTTTCCCTTTGCCCCCAAAGAATGACCACCCCAAAATAGCTGCGCAGGCTCAAACAAATGAGCATTTGTGTCATTTTATGCCCTTTGTCTCATCATGCAACTGTTTGCTTCTATGGACCTTTGCTATTGAACGTGGACTTATCAAATATCATCCGCGTTTGTTGGCATTGTTTCTCCTCATCCCAACTGGGATTCTGCGGTCGAGTCCATCAGACTCCTGTTTCCAAATAAGACATTGCGACATCCGGCTTAAACAAGCCGAACATTTTGACAGGGCAATTGTCGAACGGAAGCTGACAGCACCCGCTTGGTCGACTACGCCAAGACGCCTTGGGTACCTGGCGGATTTCGTTCCGCGAGGTGTTGCACCCTTGGTTCCCAAACGCATAACCCGCGCGGTAACCAGTACTGCTGAGCCGCAAGCATCACCCTTGCGCCTAGCTCTTGGCAGAATTGGGTGACACTCGTAAAAGACACGACACCACGTGTTGACACGAAATTCATTGGGTGCTGAAGTCGCAAGAGTACAGATACGAGTTGCTTTCCCTCTTATTTGGTCACCTGAACATGAAGTGAAGACTCCAAGTTGAGAGATCATCAGCTGTTTCATGCTGAATCGACTGCCAACGCTATTGTTGCCATTTGGCCACTGTTCTCTTCAGGTCAGTTTGATGAACATAGATGGAATCCAGTAGTTCCAGCTTGGTCGGATTCTCGTTTACCAGCCGGACATGGATTTTTCCCCAACGGACACCAAGCGGCTTATGCTGCACCTGGCAGTTGGGACGTGCATCCTCAAAAGTTGCGACCTGAATTCTGCTGAAAAAGCCCTCACCATGGCTGGACTCTCCTCTGGCAATGCGTTTTGTTGTAGAGCTAATATATAGGGCAAACAGAACATGCTGCGGATGGCCGAAATCCATTTCGCACCACTTTGAAATCATGGCAACGGTATTTAACCTGGAAATCATATCATTCCAGGTTTCCCAGGTGATGCAGGATTTCGTCCATCCACAGTATGACGTGCCAACCAAAATGGGGTGGGGCTTCGAGGAAGAGATGGCTAAACATGAACAGCGAGTGCAAGAAATTCATCCCTCGCAACAGGTGTTGAAATCTAGGCTTGGACATTTGCTTGAAAAAGACAGACCAAACTTTCTCCCCCAAAATTTTACGCGGGGAATCCTTGAGGATCTTTGACCAGCTGTGGTTTATTGTAAACGCTTCGCGTTGCCCGCCTCGGCCCAGCCTAGTTTGAGGGAAGGGTCAGGAACACCGAAATCCAGTGTTGGGAAGGTCCGAATCCTACTGAAAGCTTGTGACCGCACCAGTTCGCCCGTGCTAGTTCGATGTTCGGAAGCCGTCCTGCTCGGAAGGTTTGAAATCCAAAACCAAGACTGTCAGCCTGGGCTGAGCTTGGGCAGCCGGACTGGGGGGCTGGGGCACGTCAGACAGGCTTAGTAGCTGGCGTAGCTTGAGACCAGTCTCAGACACGTGAGACTGGTCGTTGGCCTGAGGCCAGTCTCAGACACGTTAGACAAACCTGACCTTGGCACGCTGGGCTGAGCCTGCTGGTGCGCTGGGAACTGGGGGCCGGCCTAGAGATGCGCCGGGGCCTGGGCTGGGCAGGCTGGGCTGAGGTGGGTTGCTGGTTGGGCTGGGCCTGAAGCTAGTCTCAGCCACGAGGCTGCGAAGCCATGGGTGGGTTGCTGGCTGCCGGGGCGGGCTGGGCTGAGCTGTGCTTGGGCGGGTTGCTGGATGGGCAAGGCCTGTTTCATACACACTTGGGCCTGAGGCTGGGTGGCAAGTTGCTGGCTGGGCTGGGCCCGAGGCCAGTCGCAGACACGTAAGACACGCCAGCAGGCGGGCTGAGGGACTGGGCCTGAGGCTAGTCTCAGGCTGGCATACTTTGAGACCAGTTTGAGACTCTTGGCCCCTTTGAGGCCGAGGCGAATATGAAGCGCACTGAGTGCTTGGCCCATGCCGTGCCTCACCATGGGCCCCGCAAATCGCACCTAAGGATGAATTTCCATTTTCACCTGGAGTTGAGTCTAGTGGCTTGGAAATCCTAGCAAAACATCTGGAAACGAATTTGGGGTTCCGACAACCTCTGGGATGCCTCTGACGCTAGGTGGGTGGCTCTGTGCAGGAGGAGCTGTGCAAGCAGCTGTGCGAGGCAGAGCGGAGTTTAGGCAAGCCTTGGTGGTTGGATTTGAGCAGTTCCTTTTGTGTTCTGGGAACCGTCGGAAAAAACAAACAAAACCACCAATTAGGGGGAGACTGATTTCTTGGGGGACCCTTTTCTCCAGGTTTCGGAACCAACAAAAACAGGCTTCCAGCATGCGCCCGATTTGCCGGCGGATGATGCTGGGAATGCTGGGAATGCTGGTGATGCTGGTGATGCTAGGGATGCTAGGGATGCTGGTCACAGTCTCTCTCACACAATTGGCTTCATTTGTGCTTTGTGGGAGCATGTTTGGTGTTGAATGCGCTTTGAACTTTTTCAAACACCTTGGATTTTTGGCGACGAAACAACCCACCCGCTCGAGAAGGCCGCACATGACTGGCGGGAGTTCGCATCGGTTTGCAGCGATCGCTGGACTCAAACGTAATGTACGATTGGTTCCCTGACTTGCAAAATAGCGAAGACGCATCCAAGAAAATCAACATGGGACCCAAAAGCGGACCCCCCAAAAAGGTGGCTTATCTAGAAACATGGCGGTTTGTAGGTTCCAAAGATGCCGGGGCGTGGCATGTGTGTTGGTTTTTGTTCTGCCACATCTCCGGGGGCTTGGGCTTTCGCAGTTTCCAGGAACTTCCGCCGCGGGATGGCCAGAGGTCGCTTTAGGATTGGTTTAGTATTGGCCTATTCTCTAGAAGTCAGCATTCCCGGAGTTGGGATTCTCAAAAATGATTTGTACTAGGGGGACCTTTCATATCAGGAGGGATGGGTTCAGATGTCGTGGTGCCGGTTCGTTGGGTATGGGAGTCTTTTCGTTCCGTACCTTGGACAGCGCATGGCTGGCGATGCTCCTTTTGAGTTGCGCACCGGACATGGCCCTTTGAGTGCAAGTGGCTGGAGTTCGCCTACTAGAATTGAGGCTGGGGTGATACATTTTTTCACCAAATGGCCACAAATTAAGCCAAGTTACCTCATGAGCCTGAAAGTTCGCTTCTTGGTTTTTGCGTCAGGGCAGCACTGCGCCGGGCGACTCAGGGGAGAGGGAATTTCGAGGCTCGGCAGCCTTTTCATGGTCTGATTAAATCGCCAACATCGACACCCAGCCGCCATTTTTTGGGGGGGTCCGAAAGAGTTGGCTTTGGCACATACCCAAGTGGGGTGACCTGTATATACAGGAGTTGTCACCCCAGCACATGTGCTTTCACGCGTGGGGCAACATTGTTTAAACACCCGGTATTTCCCTTTAGGCGAAGAGCTTACATCTCAAGTAGAGCCAATAGACCCAACTTCCGGCACAATGCTGAGCCCGGCAAAGCTTCCGCGTCTTCATTTGGAGCAGAAGCAAACGCATTTTCGGTTGCAGAGTTGATTCGATGACCCTGCTACCCTCCAACTCCAAGGAGGGTGTTTGAATGTGGTTGAAAGGTGTTGAAGCAAAGCCGTCACTCTCAAGACTTTGGACGTTCCAAAAGTCTGGGTCTAGCTTCGACAATGAAGGCCCCCTCCCGCATTGACAGACATTCCGAGCAACTCACGGGTCCCCAACCTGGTTGTGAGAATTGGGTGCTGATCGCTTGCACCAAAGGGCAATCATGTCTTCATCCGCACAAAAACCCGTGTGTTGCCGGCAGCCTTGGTTTCCAAGGTGATGGCAAACCCTGAAACGCTTTGGGCGCCGATCCATCAGACAGATTTCGGCAGGTGCGTTTTCTGCGAATGCCGGAGGAAGCGACTGAAGCCATGTGCCCGCGTTTCCCTTGAAACACAGGTGCCGAAAGCTGCAAATGGCTCTGGCTTCCTTTAGTTTTCCCTCAACGAAAAGGTGTAGGACTCATGCAGACTTGGTCCCCTATCGGCCTGTATCACTTTGACCACTCATTCTCAAAAGGGCTTGAAACCCTTCGGCCATTCTCGCTGCCTTAAAAGGCTTCCCAGGAAAAGACCGCAGACTTGGGGACCCTGCAAAGGTGGGATTTTTCGAGGTTTGAGCGCACGCATGCGCAAGATCCGAGGAGGAGAGGCTCAAACAAATGTTTGTCAGGTGTCCTGCGAGGTTTTTCGTTCAATGACGAACACTCTCCCCAACAAAGACAAAAGGAAGAAAAAGCAAAAAGCACCCCCCCCCCTAAAAAATGGTAAAAGTAGGGGGCCTGGGGGGTGGCCTGTTGATGGTTGCCTGTTATGGTTTTTATGTTCATCTCAAATCTGTGTTCCCCCTTATTCGTTTTTAAAAGAGGGTTTTTAGGGAGCTTATTTATCGTTTTCGTTAAGGTAATCATTTGGGTAAATTGTCGCCTTGTTCATTGTTGGGCTAGGGGCAAACATTTTTTTCATTTGAAAGAGTTAGCCCTTTTAGTAGTTATCAAGTTCTGGGGTGTTGGCGGTGGATTTGTTTTGTTAGTTTTTTCTCACTAATTTTCATTTATAGGTTAAAAGTTCAGTATAATTATAACATATAAGATTTTACATGTTATTATTATATTATGATTATAATTTCAGTTCAGGATAATAATCTAATTGGTTTGTCTTACTTCTTTCATACATCATTTTAAAAATAATATTAACATCTCTCACTGTATTCTGAACATTAAACTTTTTACTTTCAATAAATAATTTGATATTTTCTTTAACATCTTCTCCTTTCTCTTGACTATAACCCAACATCCATAATATATCGTAAATCGTGTCATATTTTTCTTACTGATTTTAAGAAACTGTTTAACACAATCGTAAGGTGGTATTTTATTTACAGTTAGAAATATTAAAATATCATCTTCTACATTTCTATTATGTATTCTTTTTATTCCCAACAGACATTTGATTAAAAATTGATTATCTCTCCAAGTTTTACAATTTTTACATATGTCTTCTTCACCATCCATTGAATAATTAATAATATTATTCACTATTTCATTAGGTAAACTCAATTTATACAATTCCATATTTTCTTTTTTGAAGTGACAACAATCATAGCATTTTTTATCGATATAATTATTGATTCCATCACCGTTCATTTTCCTTTTAATATATAAGGTAATATTTCTTTAAGTAGTTTTGGCTAGGGGTTATGGTTTAGTTATGAATTACACAGGTTCATCAACCATTAGTTTAAACCTTATGTTTTGTACTCCTTCAAAATTCATTCTACTTCTTTCACTATCAATACATCTGTATATTGTTTGATGTGCCTCTATCATTACTTCGGATATATTATCTACGGTTATATTATCTACAAAATCATCACTACGAAAATGAAAACTAAAAGTGTTAAAATGGTCGTCTTCATAATAATTGAAATGATGAAACCTTACAAACATATTTACCTCAACTATTATCACTGCTTCATGTCCGTTAACGGTTTCAATACCATCTAACAAACAATCTAAGTTTTCATTTTCATTAAAAACTATATCTTCAATGCTTTTAATGCTTAAAGGTATATTTCTTGAAATGTAATACTCAATTACGTGTCTCTTTATATCATCGCCATCTTCAACAGTATAGCGCTTTGTCTTTCTTTTTGTTTCTGTTCTGTTTATTGTATATTGTTGTTGTATTCTCTTTAATGTCTTAATATGATTATGTTCTATTTTCAAATACTCAGGTTCCCCTAATTTATATGAAATGATACCTTTTAATACATCAACAGGTAAGCTAGCACAATTCTCAGCCATAAAATTATTATCTAACATTTTACCCTCACTCATTTTTCTCTTTATATATAAGGTTTTTTCTCTTTAAGTAGTTTTGGCTAGGGGTTGCTGGTCGGCTGGTCTGGGTTTCAGGTTTAATTTAAATGTCTTAACCTTCTTATTAGATTATAAAACAATATTTAATTATATTATAAGATGATAATATTAATAAACAAAAGTTAATTTAACCCGTATTCAATCTCACCAGCGACACAACCACTATAACAACTCATACTATACTCGCAACAATAATGCGCGTATCCTTTTATTAATTGGTCTGTGTAAATTTAATTAATTCGCTAAGAATATATCTCATGTAATAATTGTTATTTCTATATGACCACCAACTGTTTAGGTTTGGAAAGCTAAACCCATAACGTTTAAAATTTTTAAATCTTTAATGTCAAGACATTTTCTTAAAATAATACAAACTTCATTTTCATTATTCTTATAGTATGGTTTTAATGCTTGATAATACATTTTTCTATTTTTAGACCGTTCTTTAACTTCTTGTATATCAAATACTCGGTCAATGTGTTTTCTGTAGTGTCTTATTTTTATACTATATTGGTTTTCTGCTAGTAGTGTAATAACATTATTTTGCATTAGCTTAATAACTTGTAATTGAAGTTCTGCTTTTTCTAGTCCTTCTTTAGGAATATCTTTATCTCTCATAAAATGTTCTTCTTCATCCATCAAATACCAACAATCAAGACATGTTACTCTAATATAGCCACCTATAAGATTACACATATTAACAGGTAAAATATTAGCTAGTGCCACGGCAGACTTACATTTGTTATTTTACAAGGACAATTATCATAATTAAACAGTGTATTTTTTCTCTTACTATATTATATCCATTTTTCTTTAAGTAGTTTTTATTTTATGTTAAGGGGTGGAGATTTATATTAAAAAAATATTTTCTATCAATTTAATATAATGGCGAGATTAACAAAAGACCAAATAATAAGCAACATCTATTACGACTTAGACGAGGGTTTTGGAAGCACACAAGCGACACACAAGAAGGCAAAGGAAGAAGATCCAACAATAACAATAGACGATGTAAAGTCTTTCTTAAAGAAACAACCAAATAAACAAATCACAAATTATAGAGGTACTAATTCCTATACCACTCCATTCGCACGATATCAATATCAAATAGACATAATGCATATGTCACCTTTGGCAAAAGACAAGAACGTTCCACAGTATGCTTTAGTCGTGATTGACATCTTCAGTAAATTAGCAGATGTAATACCGATGGAGGAAAGAGACGGAGAGCACGTTTTGAAGGCG